GACCTACATGACCCCACTGATGACAGTGATGCAAAATCAGCATTACATAATCTGCGTTTAAAGAACATAGGTCATATGACTATCAGGTATCTAAATATAAAGTCCATTAGAAATAAATTTGATGCACAAAGAGCGATAGTTTCATAGAATCTTGATATTGTAATGGTCGCCAAAACCAAAAATGATGATTCCTTCCCAAAGGACAATTCTATATTGAAGGTTATACTGATCCACTGCGGCTTGACAGAAATTGTGAGGGTGGCGGTCTGTTGGTCTATGTGAAAAGTGACATCACAATGAAACAGTTGAAATAATTCAAGCTTGAACTTCAAAAAAAATGTATTTGTTTTTAAATCAATTTAAGGGGGAATGAGTGGGCTCTTTTCAGTGTTTACTGACCACCGTCCCAATCACAAGACCACTTTTTCGAAAATCTTTGCAAAGCAGTTGTCATTACAGTGAAAAATATCTTAAATTTTTATTATTTGGGGATTTTAAAACAGTAGAGAAAGATCAACAGATGCATACGTTTATGAATAGCTATGACCTCAGAACGTCTGGTAATGAACCTGTTTCAAGACTGACAATCCATGATGTATTGACCTAATCTTAATGAACAGATATAGGAGCTTCCAATATACCATCACTTTCGAGACATGTCTCTGACTTTCACAAAATGATATTCTAGGTTGAAAGATAGATATAATAAAAGCAGCACAGCTGAACATTGGGAAGCGTTTGGTGGACAGCCAAATTTGTGTGTCAAATTATTGAGAACAAAAAAAAGAAACTTCTATAAAAATTTGAGTACTTCTGATATTACTGACAAGAAGAAATTTTGGAAAACTGTAAAACCTGCCCTTTCTGATAAAAGTCGATTGAATTCAAATATTACCCTTATCGATAATAATATGATGATTTCCAATGATAAGGAAGTTGCAGAAACCATGAACGATTACTTTATATCGATTACTGACTCATTAGGTCTGACAGAGAGCAGGGAGGTCATCATAAGTCCAAATGGTTTATCAGATCCTATGGAAAAAGCTATAATGAAATATTCAAAACACCCACGCATTAGGAAATTTTGCAGTTTTGCTCAAATTAATGGCTACTTTAAATTCACAGAGGTTAGTTTGGAACAGATGCAGTCTGAAATTGAGGGGCTTAATCTTAAAAAGGCGACAACCTTTGGAAATATACCCGCGAGAGTGCTGAAAAATAGCTCTGACATTTGTTCCGAATCGATGTAGCTTACTTTCAATAAATGCATTCAAAATGGTGTCCCAAAAAACAGCAAGTTGAACTGTGTAGTTTATCTTTTTATTTGTTCTTTATAATGCACAGAATATTCAAAAAGAGAAAAGGTTTTCATGGGGTACGGAAATGGCAGTTGAAAGAGTCTTCTGGGTGTAACAGAAATCCACAACAAAGTACCAGTAGTGGAACCTCGAGCCAGGATGATACCACTAGGCCTAAGCCATGTATGCCTTCGCTGACAAAAAAGGATTGAGTGCTATGAGGAATATGTCGTCAGAGAAGCTAAAGCACGGCAATTTTAAAAAGATGGACGAGAAATGAAAACTAAAAGTTTGAGCAAAAGATTAGGGGTCGAAAGAGCACACTGCATTGAAGACGCCCATGGAACAAAAATCCAGGACTTCTCAATACTGAGTCAATGTTTAGAACAGTTTGCCATCTGCTCAAGTTGTAGAAGTGCCAAGTCAAAGATGAAAATCAAGCAGGTAATCAAAAACAAAAAAGAGCTGGCAGAACTTTTATTTATAATATGTACACATTGCAAAACAAAATTTTTCAACCAGCAGGAAAATATCTGGAAAAGGTGGAGCATTTGAAGCGAACAGAAAGGCAGTTTTAGCACGCCCAAGTCGAGCACAACTCCAAACCTTCTGTGCAAAAATAGATTTACCACCCCCTGTTACTGAAGAGTCACATAATAACCACCTGAAGGATATTGATTGATAAAGAATTGAAACTCAAAGCAGAAGTTAGGATGAAAGAAGCTGAAGACCGAATTTTGAATAATTTGAAAGTAGAAGAACCAGAAAGAGTTATAGTGACAGAGGATGGACAGTAGATTGGGGAAATACCAGTCACTGTTGATGGGACCTGGCAAAAGAGGGGACATACCTCAAAGATTGGGGTTGTTTTTGTCCTCTCTGTTAGATCTGGAGAAGTCCTTGATTTTGAGGTTCTCTCTCACTTTTGTCAGGCATGTATCTCTCACAGCAACATGAATAAGGCCTCATTTGAATTCAAAGAATGGGAAGCAAGCCATGCAGACCAATGTCCAATAAACCACTTAAGCTCATCAGGAGACATGGAGAGCGAAGGTGCTATTGCAATCTATAAACGAAGTATAAAGGAAAGGGGCTGAAGTACACAAATTTCATTGGCGATGAAGACAGTAGCTCTTTTGGAGAAAATAATTGAAAAGTATTTATGGCGATTCCTACATGAAGAGTGTGTAGGCCATATTCAAAAGAGAATGCCTTCTGCTCTTCTCCAATACAAAAAGAACATGAAAGGCAAGCAACTTGCTGATGGAAAAGGTGTAGGAGGAGCAGGTAGACTGATACTGGATACCAGAAAGAAAACTCAAAATTACTATGGCCTTGCTATAAGGCAGAACAAGGGTGACCTACAAGGCATAAAAGCAGATGTTAATACAATTATGCATCATACTATAGAACACTACCAATGAGTCTTGCTATTCAACACAAGTACTTCCCAAAAGGAAAGGAGTCTTGGTGCGGATTTCAGAAAGACCGAGCTAATGGAGCCAAGACATACAAGGGAGCAAACAGACTGCCTGCAGTTTTTTTGAAGGAGCTTGAGCCAATATTCTCTAGGCTGAGTTATGATGATCTACTGACACGATGTTTGCTTGGTTAAACACAAAACCAAAATGAAAGTCTGAATGGAATATATAAAGTGAGTGCGCAATATTTGAATTAATTCAATATCTGTTCAGGGGGTAGTAGGGGTTATCACTAGCTAACTACTATCTTTTGAAACATTTGACATTTGCTAAATCATATGATCTTCTTGACATAACCAATATTGTTTTGAACTTGGTGTATCACATCTACTGCTGTTACTCAGTGTTGCATGTATGCTGTGCTTGAGTCTTGTTTCACTCAGCTGTTTGACATATGCTTTCTCCAAAATTCTGACACACTTTTGCAGCCTCTCACCCATTAGTCAAATGTGAGTTTTGAAATTTATGTCTTCTTTGTAATTTGTCCAAGCAATAACAACATCTGTTGGCAGCTTGAGAGTATAACTTTCAGTCTTCTTGGATCATAAAGATGGCAGGCAACATTGGATCCTTGAGCTTCAGGGATTTGAATGTGAGCATGAGGATCGTCGAAGAATTTCCTCTGACTGGATGTTTCCTTTTCTTTCACTCTTCATTTGTCTTCTATTGTTCAAAGATGAAAAGCTGCATGATTATCATCGTCACTAAACCTGTCTTCAAGTAAATCTGTTGCTGGAATTACTAAATTCAAAGGATCTCTGTCTGTTTCTGATTCCCTTTTTAAGAACAACGGTCTTAATGTTCTGCATGAAATTGGAGTATGATTTTCCCACAGTAGCTTGATTGTTTCTGCTAATTAGTTTAAGAGGAGTATTTCCATACTGAAACTTTTTTTTTTGCCCCCAATCATACCTTTGCTATTCCAAACTAACTGCTGTTCAGCACCATCTCAACCATCTTTGAAAACCAACTCAATAGCATTATTAGCTTTTTCTACACAGTTTTCTTTTGTACCGATTTGACAGTCATCTTCACAAGCTCTTTTTATTGCACTTGAACATCTTTCCCATCAAGCACCGTAGTATACAGGCCTGAGCTTTTTCTTAGCTGCCAATAGTTCGTTATTGGTAGGAAAGTAAATCTGATCTTTACTCAATGTTGAAGATGTATCAAGGCTCCTGCTTCATAAATATAAAATATCTGACGCGCATCTGCTGTTTCTGTGAACAGTTAATATCCAATCTGTGCAGTCCTTTTTTCTGTTTGAATATTAATGTGGTGTACCAGATATCCAAGTAAATGAGTTATTGAAAGCTCGGGGCATTCTGTTCAAATAAAATCATTGATGTGACCCAATCGGATGTCAGTCCTTTCCTTCCGCATTTGATCTCCCAGGTTACTGGAACTCTTCTGATATTACGTTTTTGGTTCATGATTTGTCTCCTCTATACATTCCATACCTATAGCTACTTTTGAAGTAAGACTCAAAATAAATTCACTTCCCTTTATGAGTTGTCTTTTACCAGGAGTAGTGTGTCCAGGCTGCCTTGAAGAATTTCTCGAACTCATCAGTCTCGCTAATTCTATATTGAGTTGCAAGGTCATGTTTGTGTAAGATATACTCGGGAGGCTTTGTTTTACACTTAGCAGCTTGTATAATTATATCAATTATCTGGTATTCACTGATGTGCACTGTATTGTTTGATGCCATTCTTGACTTGAGTTTCGATAACCTAAACAGAAATTTTAACTTGTGCAAAGAAAATGTACCCTTTCAGCAATGCAGAAGGTTTCCTGTAACTTCAACAATCTATACACACTCCTGTTTGATTTTATTGCACAAACTTCACTATATATACGAACCTCAAACGCAGTGCAGTGTCTTCTTGATAAATTATTTTCAATTAAAGTTAATTTTTTTTATTAATTACCTCAATTGCAAAGCAACGTTTTCTTGATATATAACTCAAAATAGAACACATAGTTTTTTTAATGAATTACCTTAATGCAATGCTATCCGTCCATAAAATAACTTTTGAATTTCTTATATTTTATAAAAATACAATACAAAATTTACCATGCTCTATGGGGGGATAATTTAAATGAATTGAATGCATAAGTAGGACAGAGTTAGTGAGGTGTTAGATCTAGTTTTTCAGTTTCAAAAGAAGGCTCATATGTCACTCAAACCAGTTGTTTTCTCTTAAACCAAAAAGGCAAGTGTATGGTATCAGAAAACAGTAACAAATAGTATATAGTGAAACAACTTATGACACTCATTAGATACAGCCCTTTTAAGGGCTAGATATTGGATATAGTCACACAGCCTAGTATAGTCACACAAAGTGAAGTTAAATTTTACAATATTGGGATGTTTTGCATAAAATGGAGGCCATGAAGTCTGTTCCAGGCCTCTTTTAGCATAAATTTAGGATTTTTTTGGGCAACTATCTTAATATCTAGGGATGAAATGAAGAGTTCATACCTAATGTTATCATCAGTTTATAATAATAGCAGCATTTTGTCCTCAGAAAAATTTCCCAGTGCACATTTCGGTTTCATATCAATATAGATTGCATAACCATATTATGATTTTAATAAGAAATGGTCAAAGTTTGTTCTCATGTTTTTTAATAAAGGGCTTATTTTTACAATGTGAAATATAATTATTCTGATAGGGCTTTACCTATACATTACATAAAGGGTATATTTTGGTATGTGAATCTTAGCCGTTTTCAAGATTTTCCTTGATTTAGCATGAAAATTTTGCCATTTGTGGTAGATTGAGGACTTACATCTTTTGGTCACAAAACCTCTTTAGAATGGAGAAAAAATACTTTTGGAATTTAATTTTTAAGTTCCATTAATAAACAATGAATCTTGTTTGAGCTACAGAAGAATTTACAACTCTTGATGATAAAGCCACTATCGTATTAATTGCAGCTTTTTGCCCAGTTGAAACTGCATATACATAATGCTAACACATAGGCTTATATAAGATGTTTTTGCCTATCGTATTTATGCAGCCTCTAACTGCTTTCTCAATAAAACAGGAGTTATTTCTAATACAAGGAATAGATCTTTTAAATTAAATTATTTGTGGACACAGTATATGAATTTTGACATTTAAAGCTACTGAGATAAAAATCAAAGAGAGACCAAAATATGACTTAAAAACTTATGTGATGTAAAAAGACAATTTTATTTCAATTGTGTCAATGTTTAAAGTTATCAACATTTCTATTCAATTGTTGGTTGGTTCCACTTAATTTCATACAGAATCTGCTGAATCTTCAGTTTTGCAAGACTTTTTGACAGTCATTTAGACCTTTGAGCTGCTTTCGAACGCTGTGCCCAAACAGATCATCCTCTTTAGCTCCTTCATTTGGCTTCCTTTTGCAATGTACTCGCTTATGCTGCCTAGAACTCTCATTAACAACTCGCTGTTATCTGAGCCTTTGCTGACATTTTTTCTTTGCTCCTTGCTGGTTCTGCAGGGGCGTTTCCAACAAGCAGGTATTTTGATGAATTTTCATTCCTCTATTAGATGCTGGTTCCAAGTGAAATTTCAGAACATTGGCAACATGGCGCTTGAAAAACAAACAATAAAGTGTATCAAATGTTTAAAGTTGGTTTATAAATATCATGCACAATTGTCAATAATACTCTAATTACTTTGCTTTTCTTACTATGGCTTCACTGTTATTCTTGGTATCAAAATAGTAAGCTACTTGATTAACAATTAAAAACCATAAAGGGAAAATACAGTAACAGCTATTTAGTCTATTTTCACCTTATCTTGGTATAAATTAGCATTCTCTAAAATTTATACCTTGATTCCAGCAAAGTATGATTCCAGTAGAGGCTGGACTTTATCTTTTGAGCTATATCTGTCAACACTGAAAAATTGAGAATATTTTTTTAGCACAGACGGTTGTACTGTACTGCACAAAAATAATCTTGCTCTCCGAATGAGAATAAACTGCTTCACCAATCAAAAACTTACCATTTTCGCATTCAGTGCAAATTTATTCTTGAAGAGATAATCAAACGATTATAGAGATAATCAAAAACTACTGGGAGCATATCATGCTACAGAAGAAATGATGCAAATTGAAAAACATTTCAAAAATTACTTTTTAGATCTTTTTTTAATAACTTATGGTTCTAAAGACAAAAAGTTTACTATTTACATGGAAAGGTCTGCGTGTGAAATATGACAGCCACAGGTACAGTTTTGATTGCCTGGTTATAGTTCCTTTTTATCAAGGGGACTGTAGTTCTGGAGGCAATATTTGCACTTGACAAGCCTTGCTGTTTCCTGTTTTCGGCAGTACATTCCAGCATCACATCTGTCAAGAAGATTCTCATCACAGCTATGATGGAGGAATGGGTACACCCTGCCTGTGACCTGTCCATTTCAGTCCACAGCCCAAAAGAATGTTGATCTTACCCATGCTATTCTTCTGCTTTAGTTGGAAATTTCTATTTCTTGCTGGAGACTAGCAGTTGATCGTGGCACCCATCGGGATTGACAGTAGAAGTGTAGAGGGGCTAAGTAAGATTGCATAGAAGTTGTAAAAGTAATAATGTAACATTCAAAAACTTCGAATATCTGAAACATGATTGGTAGCTTTATCTGAAAAGTTCCAGTCTTCTTCCAAGAGCAACGAGAGAAATTCAATCACAAATGTCAAAATAAATATTAAAATGAGTTATGTAGGCTTGCAACCTTAGAAGCTGCACTCATCAGAATTAGAACCTGAATCTTTTCCCAGAAATCAGGAACCGTGCTTACCAATTGCACCACAAGTGCTTCGATTGTAGCTTTTTATGGCACCTTGCCATAGAAAATTTATAAATATAAAACTTACTGCATTCATAGTTAGGCAATGTGGTAAGCAGAATCTGGGGTTTTAATCGTTTCTCAAAATCTTCACGTGACTGACCTTGCCATAGAAAATTTATAAATATAAAACTTACTGCATTCATAGTTAGGCAATGTGGTAAGCAGAATCTGGGGTTTTAATCGTTTCTCAATATCTTCACGTGACTGACCTTGCCATAGAAAATTTATAAATATAAAACTTACTGCATTCATAGTTAGGCAATGTGGTAAGCAGAATCTGGGGTTTTAATCATTTCTCAATATCTTCACGCCACTGCCTTGCAGAGAATTCTTATCTGCCAACGTCATTTATCTGAAATTGTTTGCACACAGTTTACTCAAGGTTAAAGTTTACTTTGAAACAAATTCAGGTAACAAATAATCGAGGAGGCAATGACTATCACAACCATGTAATACTGTTAAGTAGTGAACCCATATGTACAAATAATTATGTGAAATAGACGGCACAAAACACATGATGACAGTACATCACCTGCTTCATAACCTGCTCAAATTTCTCTATGCCATACTTCATTGACAAGATGCGCAAAGTTGGCAAAAAATCTGATATTTTGAATTTAGCCAATGACGCAGCTCTGTAAAGTCTGTTACCATCTTGCAAGACAAGAAACTGATCAACATTCTTGGCAACACTCGATGGTACTTGATGTCTAAGCCTGCAAGACGAAGAAAAGCATCAACTTCTTTAATGATTCTGAGCAGTATTGATATGACATGATAGAAAAATTATGTGATTGTTTTCCAAAACAAACTCGTACTAATTCATCTAATTAGAAGATACCTATATGCTAAAAAAGTTTAAGGCAGTTACCAATAGTTTGTGTCACAGGACTTCAGCAAGCCAAATGCCATGTGTTTTGGGATATATTGCACAACAGTCTCCAGAAAAAACGAGTCATCCTCCATAGCACCTCCATAGCAGTTCCTGCACATCGTTTGGGTTGGGCTCATTCCATCTACAGATCTATGATTAGAAGTTGTGCTTGATAAAAAGTATGCAATAACCTAGATGATCTATCTGATAATCCTAGATGATATATCTGGTCCATCCTTTCCATTTTCCAACAGTGCGTGCAATGACACAATGAAAAAATTAAAGATAGGAAAAGTTGGGGGATATGGGATAATTTGTTTTTTGGTAGACCTAGAATTTTTTGAACAAAATTTGTTGCAATAAAAGTGCTTTGTAAAAGAAATGAATATTTGGTACAACATTTCGAGCAAAACTCTACTACCTTCAATATAGTTAATCTTTTGATTCTACTGTTCTATTCTCTTCTTAACCGTTTCTCCTTCCATTCTTTATTCACCTGATGAAGAGTCATGCTCAAAACATCGTACCAAATATTCATTTCTTGTAAAAAGTCATTATTTTACTGCATCAAATTTTGTTCATTTTCAACAAACAACACCTACAGTTTCATTGCTTATTATGAATCTAGAAGTTTTGTGCAGAAGATTCCTAGATATTCGCGGACAGGTCCAGTAGAGCCAATATGATACTAGCCAGAGAAAAGTTGCGACATTTCCAAGAGATAAAACTGACAGTCCTCATACAAGAATAATCTTTTCAATTTTATGGTACAGGAAAAACGTGTTTTTCAAAGACCTGCTCTCTTTCCTCTTTTTTCTCTGCATCATATCTGTCCTCCGTCACTTCTCTGTCCTCTGTCATTTCTCTGTCTCCCATCACTTCTTTTTCCTTTATCTCTTCTCTTTCTTGTATCTCTTCTTTTTCCTCTGTTTCTTCCACTCCCTCCATTCCTTCATCACCCTCCATTTCTTTTACTCCCTCCATTCCTTCCACTTTCTCTATTTCTTCAATTCCAGTTGCCTTGCTTTCTTTCAGTTTTGAAATGCAGGCCTCCAGCACGACATCTATTTCTTCTAATTTCATTCTATTTGGGCCACAATTCGGTGAACAAATTCTTATGGACACAGGCCAGAACCAAGTCGGTTTGTTCTTCGAAAGCCAGCATTTTTTAGATGTCAATCCTAGTCAAAAATACGTTAGAAATGGTAAAGAATGTTTTGAAAAAAGTTTTGAATTTTTGAAGCTGAGCTTTATCTCTTCAAGTAAGAAGTGCATGAGATAAAAACTTTTCAATAAATATAGACATATTCTAATATGAAGTGCCCTCATCGAGGTCTCTGATCGTTATCGCTTGAGAAAGTCTCTGGAGCCACTGTAAACGATTAATTTGAAATGTGGCAAACAGATTTTTGGGAAAGGCAATTTATTTAATTGATTTTTCAATAAAAAATTTGATAGTGATAAATTTCATATTATTTGGCTTCTTATGTTTGAGTTACTCGCTATATGCTATAATAAGATAAACTTATTATTTATTATACAAGACTAAATATGCTGAAAGCTTCAGATTTCTAATTCATAGGCAGTTTCAATCTCACTTATTTCTTTGAGTTTCAATCGGAACTTTCCTCTCTCTCATCAGATTCATTGCAAGATGAGCATAAACAGACACTGCCTCAACAATTCTTATTTCTTTAACACGAAGCCTAGTATGTGTATTGCATGTAGCACTAACTATTTATGCAGCTTAGAAAGACTGGGATATTTTTCTTTAATTTTTTTCTGTTTGAATCTATTGAAATTTTTTCGAACTCGTTTTATATTTTTGTAAAAAGAAAGCTAGCATTATAGGCAATGTCTTGATTTTGGGGAGTACTAGCAACTATTGCGGTTGTGGTAGCAGAAAAATTGACTTTTATTTGGAACCTTGGTGCTATTTGGTATCACGTCAGATGCACCTAAATCAAAAGACTCAAGTGCATTTGTTGGTAAATTTTTGTCAAACTCATTCAATTCTAGAGAATGACATTGCTGGTTAGGCCTTTGCGTTCCCGACCCATGTGCTTTATCTACCTCTTTTATCAAATTAGAACTTTGATTTTTTGTCATTAGATGAAAGGACCTGACAAATTATTTTATCGATGCTGGCTTTATTTTTAAAGTACATGGCATGAAGTTGTTGCAAGGCATTGTTATGATTGACACGAGACCTGCCATAAAATGTTTTAAAAATAGACACCCAGTCGAAATACAGACCTTGGCTTCCTTGTCAAAACAACAATGTTGGCTTTCGGCTACAGCAAAACACTCAACATCAAAGAAGAGGGCACTTTTCCTTTCTTGTCCACCACCACACACATTGTCGCCAACTACCTTCACAACACCTAAAAATGAAAGTTTTTGTTTGTCATCTTCAGTATATCTTCATAAATATTAGTCATAGAAATATGTTAATCTTGAATAAACGAGTTCTAATCCATTCTGGAATCAAGTTATTAAATTACATTGACAGCCTGATTATGTTGTGTATATTGATTATGTTAATTATAACAATTAAATGTAACAGCACATTGAAATTAATATAGGATCTAAATTCGAACTACATACCTTTTTTCCCTGCTAGAAGTCTTTCATCTCAATTTTTCCACCCACTTCAACAAAAGAGTCAACTGTCATCTCTTCCCTATCACTTCCAAGGATACTCAAGAAGAAAAAAGTACAAAAACTTCAGCTGAAGATCCTGTTTCTGAAGAGCTACTGTCATCTCTGTAATCATTCTGAATCTAGAAAAGAAGTGAAGATAAGACATTGTTTGAAAAAATGGTCAGCAAAAAGAATCACCCAACCAAGGTAACAACTTGCAAATTTTATCACAAAGTATGACATAGCTCTTCCTCTCGACCATGGGAGTCTACAACGGCAGGCAACTTGCAAGACATCGTATCATTCTTATCATTCTTAAGAAATAAATTTAGAAAAGGAGTGAAGATGAGACATTGTGGGAAAAAACAGTCAGCTAAAAGAATCATCCAACCATGGTAACAACTTACAAAATTCATCAAAAAGTATAACATACCCTATCCTCTCGACCATGGCATTCCAGAACAGCAGGCAACTTGTAGGACATCATATCGTTCTGAATTTAAAAAAGAACTGATGATGAAACATTTTGCTTAAGAATGACTTTACTTGACCTATTTTTGCAAAAAAGGAACCAGGGATACAATGATCGTACCTTGATGTGTTTCTTTCCTTTCACTACAGTGGCATAAGAGCAGCCAAAGGTTTTGGGTTTGACTTGACTCTTTTGACGGCTTGACTCTTTTTCCTTCAAAGTAATAATATCAACTTATTGCATAAACAGAATCATGATTTATAGAAGCTTGCCGGTGAATATAATGTAATAAATAACCTGAAAATGAAAAGACATGTGGTTGTTTGGTTTTATTTCTTTAAGTTACCTGCAAGGGTAGATTCCTGTTTTCCACACTTGTTGAACAATTTCCATCAAGCTCTGTTGAAAGAAAAGTTAGTCTATAAATAAGTATATTATAACTTACAATGAGTGCCAGTGACAGGTTACCGGGTATTTAGATTCTTTCATTTATAGAATTGTAGTATAATTTATCCAAGATACAGATGCATGATACTTACGATGAGATCCAATGGGTCCTTGGTGCTGAACTTCTTATACATGATGGGGCTAATGCGTGGGTTCTTCCTTATAATGTTATGGAATATTCATTGGAGCTACCCTGTCATTTTGAGAATTCATTGTTTACTTGATATATTTAAAGAAGTTGGGTTATTCACATTATATTATAAACTATTAAAGCGTGTTCGACGCTAATTCGACGCATCTGTAAGGAAATACAGGTATTCTAAAAGAACACAGTGATGACTGATCTTATGTTAGATGTTTGCTTACAAGATCCACAACCGGAACGAGGCTTCACTGCAATTTTCCCACTCTAGAGTTGGATTAAAATCAGAACTTTAAATTTCTAATCATCTTTAACTGTTCAAAACGGATGAATATTGAAAAGATGCAGCTTTGCAAAAATTCGCTCGCAAAACCTTTACCTTGTAAACACTGGGATTTATCTTGGTCAGTACATCGTTGTCATGTACTATGCCACAGCTGGTAGCAGCAAAACAAGCATTAAATCTTCAAATTTTTGCTTGTAACCATGTTTGACATCACAAGGAAGAAGATGCTTAAACTAATAGAGTTCCTCCTCCTACTTATGTATATAGAACAAGTTAAACAAAAAAGAATTCTGGAGGATTAGCGTTTGTGTGAGCGATGCAAACAAAGAAACTTTTGATTAGTGCAGTATCGAGTTGATTAAGAAGTAGTAGAATGGCCTGGTTAATTCCTAGTTTACTCAAATGAATAATATTGTTACCTGTGATGGAGAGAGACTCTTTTCCTTTTCGTTTCAGGTGGAGCTGGCTCCTTGGCATGCCTTAACGGACCTATTGAAATTGTAATAAAAATTTAATAAAATTGATGTTCGATTTGTTTCCTATTTTTATTTTGGTTCATATTGTTCCAAAAAGATATTTTGCCCCATTTTTTTTGAAATTCATGTAACCAAAACGGAATAAACTGTTTCCTAAATAATTATAAATCTGAAAAACCAATCTACCTTCAGAACGATGGTGTTGAAGCTTCCTCCATATCGACTTTTGGCATGCAGTCTTTGATGGAGGTGGTGGTGGAGGGGTGGGGAGGGATCGGTCAAGTTTCCTTGTTGCTTTCCAGGAAGCAAATTTTGCCCTGGATAAGGCAGTCCTTTGTCTTCACTGATATGGAGGCCGTCTTTCCAAGACCACAGACGCCAATATAAAAGTTGGGGGTAACGTTGAGGAAATGAGCGTCTAGTTTTTTGCACCCCTCAGACATTATTTTGTGGTATTGCTGCTCTCAATCCAATATTCGTCCAGCCGAGGCAATATTGATACAGCAAAGATCTGTGTTAAAGGGTAAAAAATGAGAGATTGAATCTGCAAAATGTAGTGCTATAATATAGTGAAAGCAAAGGTCAACAGTGACATCAGGCCATGGCCCACTAGATCCCCCCAAAACAGTACTGCCAAAGAAATTTCAAGTAAAGGTTTATGTATACACCAAAAAAAAGGCGACAAGAAACTGATTTAACAATGAATGATGTCGATCAGTTTCGAAATTGTATTGCATTTTTATGCACATTTGGTGTCGTTTAAACTAGATGGAAGTATTGATTAGTTACCCTAGCATCCAAAAAATTCTTCTTAGTTGTGCGAAGGAGACCATGAAAGTCTCTTCTTGCCCTTTCCATGATGACGTGTTGAGACAAATCATTTTTCCCAACAAGGAGAACCATGGTCGCAGGTTGTACGTCATCTGAAAATTTGGCATTAAGGATCTCCTCTTTTACATGCCCAAAGCATAACATACCAGTTTTGCGGAACTTGCACATCTCCTTGCACAAGTGGTCTCAGCTGAGAGTCAGAGAATACCGCTACCTGCAAGACTCAGAGAGTCGTTAGATCAAATTTCCTGCGATAATATCAATTGAAAGCAATTAACAATCGAAAGCTTTGAGAGAGTGAACATTTTTTATGAAATTTCCAAACAGCCTTTGCTGCATCTTTTAGTTCGAGAACCAATTTGTAAAATACACGGTTAATTCAAAAGTAATAAAGTCAATTTATGCTTACCAGGTCATTGGTGTCTTCTGTAGGTCGATTTTGTAGCGATTTGTTTTCTCAGAGGCTCGGATTTTCCACATTTTTCCCTTGACCTTTTGCCTGTGCCTTAGTTCTTCCTCATTACCAGTCTAAAGAAAATTATTGCTGTTTGAATTAAATTTTTGATTAAAATAATAATGTATTGATATGAAAATTTATGATAAACAATTGAGTACTTGGCTAACAATTAACACTTTGGTAGCAGGGTTGTTTATTTCTAGGGCAAAAATTTGAGGAGATTAAGCAACTTAAAAAAATTGAAGTAAGAATTATTTCTACCAAAGTTTCCTCTAAATTTCAAATGTCTACATTTGCCTGCCAGTTAAATTATACCAAGTTATCGTGTTACTTGTATATGTTTGATTGTATATGTACTATGCTTGATAATAAAATGGATAGAATTGAGTGATTATGGTCTGAAGACTCTCCCTTGTTGACATTGGCACCAAGTATCTGATTTTGTCAATGTCAAACTGTTAACAAGTATATATTTGCATGGCCAGTGGGAAGAAAGAAATCAGCTCATTATTTATATATGTTATTAAGCAGAAAATATATAAATCAAGAAAATCACATCAATTAAATAAATAACTATTTACATTGAACCTTTTAGACAACAAATAGTTGATGGGAGAGAAGCCTAGTAGTATGGATTAAATTACAATATTTACAAATGAAACCAAACATTTTTTTTCCCGAATAATTTAAAATTGATACGAGAATCTTTGAAAGCCTGAAAAGAATAAAATTCTTCAGCTGGAGAAGACAGCTCTTTCTGTAGCGATGTAATTGTAACAACCCTAAAACTGCTTTCAATGTCACTGTAAAAGTATCTCCAGTTCCAAGAAATTCCTTGGTTGGTTCCGTTGCAAAACTGATGAATACCTTCTTTGGGTATTGTGTGTCATTTTGCGCCAAGCTGACTGGTTTTTAAGTCAGAGAGTTTTTGGTAGTCACATCAAGTTGCATGGAAAATTTAAATTTAACCACTTGAATTTCTCTTTATCGATCAATTGCTCATCTGTCCTAGAATCACTAGACCAACTGATGATTGGACACTCTAGGGGTATTTCTGAAAAAATAACAGATAACATAAAGATGGGCTACATCCATTTTCCAATGAAACACTCAAGAAATGTCTGGCTTATGATTTTGAAGACTAGTGCTTTTCCATTTACCTGATACTATTCAGAATAGATTCACTTATTGATTGCAGCGCAATTAAAAGTTGACTGTAACTGAAGACACTACCACTGGTAGTTCCATGAAGAATTTGAACTTTAAGCTTCAATATTTCCCTTAAATAAGAACATGATCATGCTAAACCAGTGTTCAAATTTGAATTTTTAAATGAGGATTTCAAATTATTTGAAATTACTTCTTAAATAATTATGAAGAAGTATATAAGAAATTATGAAGTTAAGAGGTAAAATAAAAATACTGACATGATAAGGAGCAAGTAGTTGTCATGATAAATCTTAGTGCGAACAGTCTAATTAGAAACTAATCGGTAGATACTTCTTTGCAGATACAACATTTGTACACATTTTCTTTCTAATATGCATAATAATAATTATATAAGTATTTAATGAAAAAGACTGCTAAAAACTATACCAGTATTTTGTTAGTAGCAATAAAAATGCTGTGATCAAGATTTCTCTTTTATCAAACTCCCAAATCAATGTTGCTAAAATGAGGAACTAGCTTAATGTGCATGGAACAAGTTGAATGACCACAGAACAAGGAGAGAACTAGCAAAGCGACCAGGCAATGAGCTTTGAACTGTAGGAACAGCCATGGAACTAAAATAAATGAGGCTACTAATATAAACACTCATAACTGAGCCTCTTTTGTCACGACAGTGATGCCATATTTTCATGGCAGCCACTCTTCAACTTCCCTCCAGTTGTCATATGCATTGGTACACTATACGTGTTGATTAAAAAATCTATATAGGAACAGAACAAAGGGGAGGGGGTCAGAGGGTGATGCCTTTAAAACAAAAACTTCTTGTCTTAAGACTCCTATAGTTTAAACTCAGGAATGGGCCCTCTAATTCTGGAAACACTTTTTAGTGTGAGCATTTGGGCTGCTTATGTGCAAGTGAAGTTAATTGTTAAAATGCACCATAGAAAACACTAATTGAAAAAGACACACTTGTACTTGATATAATTTTTATGGATAAATTGGCATACCTGGAAAATCATCAAACTGTCCAATATCAGGCTTTGGCAAGAATTGCCTTTCTCCTTGCAAATAAACTGAAAGGACTGCTTTACTTGCCTCTTGGGTAACAATGGCCTTGTGCTCCAATTTTGTATAGTTGCTAGAAAATTTACAGTAGAACCTAGCTCCCATCTTCAGAGATTTTGCTAGTTTTCAATATATCACTTTGTAGTGACAAAAAATTAGTGCGTCTCTTGCAAATAATAGATACAAACTAATAACACATTACCTGGGATAGTGTCATTGTAGCCTCTCCTTGATAAGGTTAATGTTGTCCTTGTTATGACAAAGGAATCATATAAGTATCATGATACATTTTGAATAGAAGATTTTTCTAGAGAAATTTCGTGGTAATGTGCCACATATATCCAAATATAACATTCATTTTAGATAAACTAGATAAATTACCTGTAATAATAGCTACGTGACATGCCATGAACTTTGCACAAATGCCTCGTCAGGTCACAAATTGGCACACCTTTTTCTCTACAGGACTCAACTTGACATTGCTCAGCAGCTCTATATTACATATAGTCCAAGCTTTTGTAGGAATGAACTATTTCCCCATCCATTGGTCTTTCAGTCAACTGTGGTCTTTTAAGGTCATTTTATGCTGGTCTTTGAGATGCCTGCGAAGGTCAACATAAACTTTCCCAAAATATTTGCAGGAACGCACTAGCGTTTGCTAGGCTTCTATTGAAGAAGCAAACAATAACATTTAAATGACAAAGATATTTAGAGTTTCCTTCTGAATTTTTAATTACAAAGAATATATTTGTCTGAAAGTTTAATTTTCAAGAAATTTTACAAAATTTGACTTATTTCTCGCTTCTACTCCATTTATAAATTTCAAGACCTCGCAAGAGGTTGTGCAGTTTATATACTGATCAGATTTGTTGCTACATAGCCTCTGGAGCTATTTTATGAAACTGAGAATTATAGAGCAATGTACCCTACATGTGATCACAGCTGTGATTCCTACCTCTGGAAGTACCAAGCTAGCGACATCCCGAACTCTAAGTGAAAGTTTGGTCATTGCAGGGACTCTAAAGCGAGAACCTTTGATCTGTTATCCTAACAGAGTTTCCTCTCTTTATTAACCAGACTTGTTCGAATGACTCTGAATCTGGAAAGAAGGACGCACGGACGTTGAAAGGGAAAAAGAAACATTCTATTCTGACGAGCATGAAGACAAAGACGAACCCAATAACTCTTGAACCGTGTTATAAATATATTCAGGTGACATCGTTTCGGTTTTATTTTGATTGGGTTTAGTTCCTTAATTCCTTAATATTCTTCTATTTAATTGATGGTTTCTTGTTTTCTAGATATTTAGGAGTTAGAGTATTATCGATCTATTTAGTTTAACTTATATACAGTCCTCTTTTCTTGAATTTGAATCTTTGGATTCTTAATTTTGAACCTTTTGGTGATTCTAACTAGTCAGCGTTGGAGAGGGAGTGTCATATATTTGTCACCTCTCTGTCTCCGACCACTAATTGCGATCCTGTGGCAGGATAATTTCTACATATATGATCATGTATACCTATGAAATAAAAGTATTTATATTGGTTAATGTTTTTAACCCTATGCTAAAAAACAAACTGGACCAGAATATAACCTTCTTTCAAACAGATAAAATAAACTGGAACTAACAAAATAAACTTTTAATGAAATATCTTCAGATTCAGAATGAAATCTCGAAAAACTGTAAATGAGCTCATTTTTGTTAATATAGGATTGCATTCCTTGAAGTTTTTTAAGAAAAAATCAGCTATTTCTGATAACATCAAGACTTTAAGGAAGTTTTAGAAAAAGGACACATAATGAAACTGGAGTGAATGTGAAACTAATAAGAACAATAAAGGTTTTGAGAAAAGAAGGTGCAGACTAGACCGTTAAAAGACTGATGGCAAGAGCAGATGTGCAAGATGTTTTGCAACGTAGTGTCTCAAGATTCCTAAGGCCACGTTCACACTGAAGCGAAAAAGAGAAGCAAAGCGAAGCGAACAGGAGCGAACAGAAGCTAACGGAACAACATGCTGCGAGCGAAAAACCGCGAATCAAACAGTTTTGCAGTGTGAAGTTTGATGGCGCAGTGGCTGATTTAAAACGAAAAGAATGATTTTATCTGAAAGATGATTTCTTAAATATTCTCTTTTTTAAAAATGAAGATGATTCTGGGTTAAAGAAATAAAAAGCGAAAAGAACTGCTTTTTATTAAAAGTAGATATTTGCTCTTAACTGGTGGATATTTTTATTTGGTGCCGCAGTTGAGGAATGACAAGGCTATTTCAGATTCAGAATGCACTCATCTATGTTTGCCTTGTTATTGCAGTATCGTTGGAAATGAATTTATATTGGTGGGGGGATGTCTATTGTTTTGCTTCAAATATAAAGTACAGTTGGCAGTTAGTGGGGGCCACCCTCTTTCCCAAATATTAGGCCATGTACTTTAATACTGGTCTGGTTGAAAACCAGTATCGTCAGACTATTCCCAGTAACTAATCAGTTGTATGTCAACGATATAATCAAAGTCCATTGCTGTTTTTCCTTTCCGTTCGCAGCGATCAAATACATGAGAAGTAATTGTGTCGCTCCTTGTTGCTATCGCTCTGTCTTGATGTGAACAAGCGTATTGTTTTCAGTACAAACTATCTTAACGCTAATTCGCTCATTTGCTATTTTGCTCTCAGTGTGTACGCAGCCTAAACCTGTCTGGGTACAACTATTTGCAAGCAAGGAAAAAAGGACTGCTCAGTAATGAGGACAAAAAAAGCGCACAAAATATCATGTAGATATTTGGACGAAACGAGTGGCATTCTACTTGGTTTTGTGTACAAGAGAAATCCTAAAGATCAGGCGCTAGCACCTGGTGGGAGAGTGTGGAGGGCTAAACATGAAGGGTTAATCCGGTGATGTACTTCCAAAGGGCGATCATGTGGAACTGCTGGCAAGTATGTCAAGGTGATAGTGGCAATTTCTTATGATAAAGGCGTGGTCTGCTGCCAAAGATACGACAAGATGAATGGGGAATTTTTCAAAAACCTTTTGCTTGATAATTTTGACAAAATGGTAGCTGCAGCAGGAAAAGACTCTAGATGTTGGATTAACGATGGAGACCCGTCGCAGAACAGTGCTTTGGCTTTAAATGCTATGAGAGAACTAAACTCAGAATTGTTATCAATTCCTTCTAGGAGTCCGGACATAAATCCGAAAGAAAATCTCTCCGGCATTGCAAAAAGAATGCTTGGTCAAGATGCCATTGACAATAACATTACTGTTTAAAGCATTGGAGCTTTTGAGAACAGAATTAGGCGAATCCTGAATGAAATATCAGTCTCCACAATAAACAGTATAAAAGAAAGTATGCACAGAAGAATTCAGCTAATAGTAGATTGCAAGGGTGAACGCCTGAAGTACTGAGAATGATTTGTTTTTATATTTTATAAAGTGTATGTATTTATGTATATCATCTCTGTAACTTATTAAGAGAAAACTGAATACTTTGAAATCATTGTTTTTCCATTCTCAAATCTAAATAAATAGACTAAGAAAAATGATGGCACCAATGAGAAGATATGTATTCGATATTTCTGTCCTAACTAAACATTTATCAAATATCTGCAAACAAAATACATGAAAAATCTAGACACTCTACTATAAACAAAAGGCAAGTCTATGAATAATTAGTCTACCAATAAAAGAAAACTGCATCATATAACAATTTGAAAACCAACTAAGGAGCACTAATAACAATTTATAACAACATTATTGCACATAAATCCCAGCGTATTTTAATGTTTTGTTGAGATAATGATTCAACATATACCAAACAAATCTGAATTAGTAGTACTGTTGGGGAGGTTTCATGGTTAACCCTACAGTTAACCCCACGGTTAACCATATAAACAATAGCTTTTAAAACACAAATCAACGGTGAACCTCAGTTAACCTTTTGACATTAAAATAAGTTAATATATTTTTAATTCTGAGAGAGGTTAACCGTCATTTTGTAGGCATTGCCTGTTATTCTTGAAAGGGTTAGCTGTAGGGTTAACCGTAGGGTTAACTGTAAATACAAAGGGTTAACTGGGATTTTAAATTTTTAAAAGTTCTCTCCAAGTAAAACAAGTTCACCGAAACAGTGTTCACATGGTGACAGCTGTGGTTCCTGTTTACATGAGGCCTATATCCATCCTTTGTTTTTCACCCCTGATCCTCACCACATTTTGAAACTTACCTGTAATTCTCTCTGCAGATTTTGTTACAATCTTCGTGAAAGGCTGGCGCTTATTATTGACTTTAAGGGTTTTCTTCTTACATATCATGCATAGATCTGGAAAAAATCCCCTTGGCCATATTTCATCCACACTCCAAGATGTGCCCCTCTAAGTTCTTTCAACTCAAGTTCTTGCCTCCTTCTCTTCATCTATACCTTTCTTTCTTTTCATCAGCGTCTCACATAAGTAAACTTTTGATAACATTTTCTATGGTAGAAGAAATCTGAGCTTTCTTCTATAGTGTCAGGAATCTTGCTGCATTGATCAACATGATGGTTTTCACCACCTAGGCTCACATGAATGTTCTTGCAGTCGATAAGCGTTTCGAGAGTACTCTGACTTGCAGTTATCAGGTTATCCGATGTCTTTATTGATTCATAAAGAATGCTACAACTTTTTTTTGTCATTTTCAATCGTACTTCATTTCCAGCGATAATGTTACACTGGATGAAAAACTAGAACTCAGCAAAACTCTACATTTATGTCTACATGTTTGTTGTGATAGCAAATGTAGGAAGTCATATTTGCGATGTGGGTGGTGTGATGAAGTGCTTGTGATATTTTGACAAGGTGTAGACAACAGTTCTAATAAAGCTTCCTTTGGTAAAGGTAATTTGCTTTTACTTATTACTGAAAGTGATGTACCCAGCGAAAGTGATGTACTCATTCAGCAAAATTGGCGATGAAACATGGCAAAACCATCAAGACTATACATGACATGTCTAAATGTAACACTCAATTATTTCTTCAGTTTACTTTTAATAAATGCAACTTGCAGTATCAGGCTTGCAGATGGAATGACGCAAACTGCAACTGTGTTCATACATTGCTGAAGGTGATGGCGGAGTATATTTGGATGCTGGAGAGGATTGCTCAATTTGTTCCAAAGAATATGACATTGGCTCATTTTGCCAAAGATTAAAGTCATCTGACAAAAGCTATTTGCCAAAGTGAAGAAACAAGTAACAAACTTTGGTAGCAGTCTGATGTGTAAAGTTAACTGGCAAATGAGCTTTAAATATATCTTTATTAAGAATGATCTAGAAAAATGGAAATGATTGCAATAGTATAGTCATGGCAGGCAAATTTTACGCATTTTCTATCATCTTTGAATTTATGGGCAATAACAAAGTAATTTGATGACCTGACTATACCTGATGAATTTATAATAAATACTTAATTAGCAGACAACAACAGGTGATGAAATATCAAAACTGCCTACTAATTATTCAATTAATTTTAATTGCATAAATATTAGCCGACCTTTCCATCAATTCTTATGTGGCATCGGTTATATTTTACGCATATCAATTTCTGATCAAAAACCAGAAATACTACCAAATAGTGTGGTTGACTGCAATCGAAAATTGACTACAAACATTGAGTACAGCAAAATAAAGCTACTTGTAAAAAATGCAAGTCAAGCGTGTTTTATTATGCCAATTTTTATGGATATAAAACATTGAAATGGCAGAATTTAATTTATGTGGATGATTTTGGTTTTAAAATACTAAAAGTTGAATATCAACAGAACGATTTAGATAGTTTCACTGTTATTGTTTTTAAATTGTAAAAAGTTTGACGAATATTCGTGTTCGCGGTCAATTTTTGAAATAATGTCAAACGCCCGCTAAACATAATCTGGGACCTCCCACTTGTTTCCCTTTACTGGTTTTACAAGTAAGGGGCTGGCAAAAACATTCTGAATATCAAAGAGGTCTATTTCCCTCAGTTAAATGTGATGGAATTCATTCCAAGACCGTCCCACTGCCAAAACATGCCTCTAAACAATCAAGTTTGATGCCATTTGCTGGCGCCACCCACATCCGCCAAAAATTTCATTGTGACTTTGCATTGTAGATCTGCTGACTTTTTCCTCAAAAAAATCGCAGCATACCATTTCCCAACAATTTCAACTTCTTCCACTGGGGGCACAGAGACTGCTAGAATTCCTTTAAGTAGATTGTCCCTTGGCATTGAGTAGTGGGTGGGAAAGAAGGTTTTGTTGCAAGATCTCCTTCGCTCACATCATCATCACTTCTCTCTTTTTCTGACTCAGAAAATCCTCTTCTTGGATTTGGGAGGAATTGTCGTCAGCCTTCAGCTTTTTTGGTTGCCCTCCTTTTCTTTTCCATATCTCGCTGCCTTGCTTTTCTTCTTTCTCCTTAATTGCATTCAAATAGTCCTCTTCGCAAATACCTTTTGTCGTCAAATCTTTCTTGCAGTGCTTCTTTTTTGGCCTTTCATTTTTTCCAGAATAAGTTCTTCAAAAATCTGGTTTTGGCTTTGTTGCTGCAAAGGCTCAACTTGTAGGTGTCATATTAGGACCCATACTTTTCCAGAGAGGGCTAGACAAGGAAAAGGACCAAGTTGTTGTGCCAGAAAACAGTGACAATCATTATTGGAAACACGTGTTTTTGAAGGGATTGATGTAGCTTGTGGCCCCATGGGTTGCTTGAGAAAAGATCTTCCTTTTTGCGAGCTAGCCTTTTTGGGTAAACGAACCCTAGTAGCAAGGTCATTTAAGAGCTGTTTCGGTTGACCTGCTTGTGACCATGCATCGTAAGGCTTAATAAGATGAGCGTCAAAATGCTCAACCAGAAATTGCTTTCTGTCAACCGGAAAACACCTGTAGCCCTAAAGCCAGCTGTAATATTTTCAGGGGACAAACCCTTGTGCCAAATATCCCCCAACTTATTAAGAAGTTGGGCTTTTCTTATAGGTTCCCGGGGACCATAATCATTAATCCAGCTGTGGAGCGTTTTCTTCCAAAGTCTTTTCATAGGCCCAAAGAAAGAAACATCAAGTGGCTGTAGCTTATCAGTTACTTGAGGGGGTAGCTTGACAAGAATAACATTTTCTTCAATGGCTTTTTTGATCACAGAAATGGATACATGGGCCAGATCAAAGATTAACAGCAAAGGTCTTGTTTTTATCTCTTGTTTAAACCATCCTTCAAACAGTTCTGTTGTCATCCATCCATTCTGAGATACCCCATACCACGTTCCAGGTAAAGCCCTCTCTCCCCTCCATGTTGACTGCAGATTTTTACCAGTAAAGATAATGAAAGGACCTAACTATTTTCTCGCAGCATTGCAGAAAGCTAACATGGTTGTTTTCACGCCCAGCTCCACAAGTAACCTTATATGCCACTTTTTCGTTTTCACTGACTACTCTGCAGTGTCCTTGGTCACTTGAAAAGCCAGATTCATGGCAGTTCCAGATTTGTTCATCATTAAAGTTGTTAGATTTTATGATTTTATCCAGCTGGTCATAGAAATCATAAACAAAGAAGGGGTTTGCTGTTGCTGACTTTCTAGCAGAGCTGATTAAAGCGGCCTTCTTCAATGACAGGTTATTCCTCTTAGCAAACACGTAAAACCAATCCTTGCCAGGTTTCTTAGTTTTGAATGAGGACAACAATAAGCTGTTAGCGGACAAGTAACAAGAAACAATATGATGAATCTCTTAAAGGGTAGGGCTAAAACCAAGTTCGCACATAATTCCAATGCAAGATGCAAGATTCCTTTCAGTTTCTTATCAAAAGCAGTTGGACGCCCTTTTTGAAGAGTTTCCTTTTCTAACAATTTAGAACGATATCTAAGTGTTCCTTCAGACATCCCATATTTTGATGCAGTGCTCCTAATTGATTGTCCACTTTGAATTTCAGCCAAAGCTTGGTCAATATCCTTACTCGACCAATTTTTAGAACTTTTTTTAGCAGCCTTAGACATTTTTTAATGAAAATTCAGTTTCACTCTTTCTCTAAATTAATGAAATAAAGATTGCATCGTTAATTTAAACCCTGTTCTTCCTTGAGTAATGGCGTAAAAATTAAACGCCTACCTCATAGGCGTCAGCTAATATTCAGGCACATCCTTTAACGAAAGACGGAAAAGTATTTCTTAGCAGCACTTGAGTAGGTCAAGGGAGACCCACAAAAGGGTCATTTGAATGTTTAAAAGGATTAGTTATTGTGCCAGGGCAATAAAGTTGATGAGTATTGTTGATAACTTAGGTACCTAGGTAAATTCTGATTAATGTCTGCCAATTGTATTCACAAAGACTGTCGTCCATACCTACTGCTAAGTTTCACATCAACAGAAAGAGGAATGAATACCCTAGATGGACTGAAGTTTTTTTTAGAAAAAAACAATCACATTACGTAATTAATGGCATGCGTAAAAATAACCCAACATGTTGCTGTGTGTAAGAATTACCCACTGTGACTATGGTTGAGAATTTATAATTACCCAACGTTATATGTCGAGATAATTCCTGAAGGAAATCTTTAAATGCTACCTCTAAGAAATATTGTAAATCCTTTTGAACAGTGGGGTTATTATAATTTTCTGAAAGAAGGGAAATCCTGGGTTGAAAGTTTCTGATCAGTGTTTTAGTTTCTTCATTATAGGATCGAATTTTGGGAACTGAAACTGAAAGGAACTGAGAACAGCTTTAGCAAAATTCACATGCATACTGTACACAAGAGATATCAAACAAAGGCTAGATTGAAGCATTTGTTTTCATGCCACTTGGTCCCTCTTGACAAGAATCCTGGAGTTTGACCAATTGGTATTGGCGAAGTATTGAGACAGATCATTGGAAAATCAATTATCAGTGTCATTAAGCCTGATATCTACAGTCATGCACTTGATTACCTTCGAGGCTGCAATACATGCAATGAAAGATATATTTGAAGAGGAAGAAACTGATGGCCTTCTTCTAGTGGAAGCATCAAATGCCTTTAATAGCTTAAATAGAGAGACACTCAATATGTAAATAACTGCTATGGAAAAGCATCTCGTCTCTTTATCACAAGAGGTAAAGAAATACCATCTGCCAAAGGAACGACCCAATGGGATCCATTTGCTATGCCTGTTTATGCAATTGGAGTTATGCCTCTTCTATCTCCCAAAGAATTCCAACAAATCAAAAGAGGCAAGGCTTGACATCAGCATACATGGCTTTTGGCAGAAGGAACAAAGTGCATTTTTTGATGTAAGGGTATTCAACCTATTCACACCTTCGTACAGAAACCAGAAACTAGACAACACTTTTGCAGGGAATGAAAGAGAGAAGAAACGCACCTACAGTTAAAGGGTTTTACAAGTTGAGCATGGTTCTTTTACGCCATTGATTTTCGCTCACAGTGGTGGTTCAAGTAGAGAAACTGAAAAGTTTTTAGCGGTTTTATCTATGAAGATTTCAGAGAAACGTGATCTTTCAATTTCACTGGTGACTAATTGAATTCGCACAAAGTTGTCATTTGAACTTCTTTGTAGTGCTATACTATGCATATGCGGTTCCAGGAATAGGTGAACAAAAGTTGAAGTTGACACATCCAACATTGAAATTGTAGAAACAATATCCCTGATTTATTAATTAAAATTGTTGTAAAAAATAAAATAAAATTGAAGTTTTCAAGTTTTTTTCTAAACATATTGAATCATCGATGAGAAAAAAAAATTTCCTTTAACCCTTATTACTTGGGCAAACCCACTGTGTAAGCTGACTTGTACAAGCCACCTCTCCAGGGACAGTTTGAAGAAGCTGGGTGGAATAATCTACCAATTCTAGCAAAAGTACCATAAAATGGTTACAGTATGCCTTTTCCTGCAAGACATGAACAGGTTGCAAATGAAACTTTCGAACTTTTTCTCCAAATTTTATTGGAACTTTACACATACATTTAACTTTGAACCTTTCTTTCATAAAAGTTTTGAAAAATGTGTCCGCTGATATGTTGCATTCATCTTTGACCTTTTATCTGTCAGCAAAGTCTTTCAAACTGAAATTCCTTTCAATTTTCCACTTCAAAGTCTATGATTCTTGATGTCCTTCAATGTAAATATGGGTATGCGAGTGAGATCCTTTCCCCAGTCCAGAGCACTTTCGAAAATATTGCAGGACTCATCAGAAACTATGCAAATGCAATGATGAATCTCAATCTCTTTATGAAAAGACACTTCTGTATTTTGAAACAAATTGTCGAGGATGATTTCAAGTTCTTTCATGAAATCTTTCATTAGTTTCATTTCGGCAGACATTGGAGATGGAAAAGCTTGTCATGCTTTGTCTCGTTCTGATGATGAGAATCAATTACAACATTTGAATTCGGGATCAGTCTATCCTGGCATCATTTAATGTAACATCAGGAAACACAGTGCTGATAAAAGGCAACATGGTAGGAAAGCAAGCCCAACCAGATGCTACAGTAGGAAAAAAGCAAACCCAGAAAGGAACAAAGAAGTGGTCGAATGATGATGTGGTATTGCTGATCGATCTTTTAGAAAAAAAGCTTGTTTGTGGAATGTTTATGACAAATCATACAATTTTAAACACATAGGGAAAGGACTCTGTCTGAGATGAGTGGTTCTTTGGATGCTTCACCAGCAGAAATTAAGACAACATTTCTAACATTGAGATCTCAACTCTTGGCAGAGAGATAAGCAAAGTAAATAAAACCAAATCTGGCCAAAGCACTGATCAACTATACAAATCAGCATGGAATTATTTGGAGAGGCTCCAGTTTTTGCTATGCTTCAGCAAGGAAAGAGCAGAGACAGTTTACAAGACATCAGATGGTGATGTCTCAAAGTCAGCCAAAAGTCAAAATTCAGCCCCAAAATTGAAAAAGACAGCATTTGAAGAAAAGAAGGTTGAGCCGATGAACACATGTATAGCTGCTTTGAAAGTACCAGGAAAGCAACCAGAAAATTTTTCACTTTTTATAGCAGAAAAGTTGCTTTCATTTGACCACAGAGCAAGAGAATTAGCTTTCTCAACATTTGCAAAATATGGTACAAACAGGAACAATACACACCCCATGTACATTAAACCTGAAGGATACCCTGATTAAAACTCCTGAGAGGTTTTATTTACAGGAAAATTTTGTCAATGCATACATTTGCATAGGTCAGATATTGAAGACCCAAAAATAAAAATGATTGGGGTTGTGATTACGCCTCAGCACGCAAAAAACCTCTGTTTGCATTGTCCTTTCTTTGTATAGACCCCCAATGCCGGATTATGACAAGGATACATTTGAAGCCCTCGATAACTTACTTTTAAAGAAGATGCAGAGGGGAAATAAATTTATCTGATGGAGGATACCAACCGTGACTTTAGAAAGCCAAATGAAGGCCCTATGAAACAACCAAAATCAATCTACAACGAATTCCATTTGAGCAGCAAAAAAAGAGCCAACAAGAGTTGCTAGTGTTGTCAATGAGGATGGATTAACGCGAGTAACAAAAACACTGATCGGTCACATTTGAACTAACCATCCAAGTTATTTTTTGAGTATTACATTTTCAAATGAGTTCTAGAAATGATTCTCTTTCTTTTCTCGTTTCTGCCTTTGAACCTATTGAATTGATTTGGTAGGAAGTTGTTTATCTTTTATAGCAATTATAAGCCCTTTGCTCATGATTCAGAAAGTGCACATTAGGCGATGAAAATTGAGGGTAATGTCTTAGCTGTTTATTGTTTGTTTTAAACTATTGTTTGCATGGTGTCATAGCTGTGGCAATGCAATTAGCAATTAGCGAGTTTCTAATTCATAACACTGAAAATGAAGATGGCTCACAGGGATCACGGTCAAGGGGGGCCCACTCTGCTTGATCTTTCTTTTGCTGAGGAAACTGAAATTTTCAATTTTCAAATGTTTACATTGCTAGCTCGACACAAAATTAAAAGGTAAGGTTTGCTCAAAATATTTTTAATACATAGTTAACTTTATTTATACATAGTATAATACAAAACTTTATTAATTCATTCAATGTTGCCTAATGATGGTATTAAACTTCAATTTCTAAGTTTAACTTGAAACCGTCCTGGTCAACATCAACAACATCAGAAAGTCTTGGCTCTTTCTAACCTGAGTAATGGCGTAGTGAAATTTCATTTAAAATTCATTTTTACATATCCAGATTTGCCATTGTATAACACAGAAATATCACTTTCGATTTTTTTGTAATTTCAGGATAAATTACAATAAATATTCTCACTGAGCCAATAATCACATTAAAAAATACTCACGTTTGTATTTATTCCATTATTATACAAATACATTCAAAATTACTTATTCTGAATATGCAAGAAAGTGGCATTAACAGTTTGTGTTTGGTCTGGATATCGTCAGGTAACACTTGCCCCCAAAAGATATGTCACTACTTTCACAACACACAAAGGTCTGCTTTGATAAAAAAGATTAAATTTTGGCACTAATTCAGCAGGAAGGCTATTCCATTCCTTGACCTTGATTCCTTGACATAATTATTTATGGTAAAACTCCAGAAGAACAAAACATTGCACTGCAGGCTGTTATAGAGAAGTTCATGAAAGTTGGACTTAGTCTGAATCGCGACAAATGTCTGTGTGCTCAGAAGTCTTTGACTTTCTTTGGTTTCATCTTTTCCGACAAAGATGTTTTGTCAGATCTAGAAAAAGTGAAGTCAATCCATAATGCATCTAAACCTCAATCAGCTAGCAAAGTCCGAAGTTTCCTTCGAATGGCTACATATTGTGCAAAGTTCATTGCGGCTTTTGGTGATCATATACACTCACTAAGTGAACTTGTAAAGAAAAAAACACAATTCCACAAAAACACACAATGAAAAACAACATCATAATTTTGATAAATTTCAGAAAGCATTGACAAGTCACACTGCCGTGGTATACTTTGATCTACACAAAAAAACATAAGTCATCACCGATGCATCATCTGTAGACCTCTCTGTAACTTTATCGCAACTTTTGCCAACAAAACAAAGGAGAGTAGTTGTGTATGATGCCTACAGAATGACAATATTCACAGACAGAGCATGAAACCCTAGGAATTGTCTTGGCAGATGTGTTTTGATGATGTAATGATGAGGCAATGGAAAAAAAAAGATCTAGACTTGGGAAAAAATCAGCATGACATAGATGTGCGAAGCTGCAAACAATGGTGAAGAGAATGCCCTGTAGTATGTGATGCCGTGAATGACATAGGTGGATGTCATGGTGATGGCATGATCGAGGAAGGAGTAGAATGTGGCCTATTTTACAATATTAAAATCACTACAAATCTTCATCTTTGATTCTCTTTTCAAATGCAAACATACCATTATTACTGAAGGTGCTTTCAAGAAACTTGACATCACGACTCGGAATGAAGCTCTTTGTCTGAAGATCATAAAGTTTATGGGTATGCAACGAATACCACTTGTTTGGATTTTGCATCAAACTTGTGACAATTCTCGTCTGCAACATGTACATATGCTATGCAACCAAATACTTCAAGATTTGAAACATTCAGCTTTGCATTGTACCAACATTCAAAAGGTGTCTTCTTATTGACAGGAACTGTTGGGCTGCGGTTTCTCAAGAGCACTGCTGTGCTCACTGCTTCTGCCCAAAATGAGGTTGGTAGATTAGCATAATGTAACATAGAACGAGCTGTTTCAACAATAGTTCTATTCATACGCTCTGCAACTCTCTTCTGTTCTGGATTCATTGGTGTTGTTGTGTTGTACAATTCCCCTTTCCTTCAGGTTTTTGCAAACTCTTTGGAGCCAACTTCACCACCATTATCTGTACGTAATTTCTTGACTTTCTTTCCAGTCTGGTTGGTTGACAAATTGACAAACTCTTTGAACTTGTTGAGGCTTCACTCTTGTGCTGTATGAAATGAACATAAGTGTATCGAGATGCATCCTCTATCAATGTCACAAAATATCTTGACTTTCCAAGTGATTCCACATTAATAGGACCACATACATCACAGTGTATTTTTGCAAGAACTTCTGATGCTCGATTAAATTATGCTTTTGGAAATGGATTACGATGTTGTTTTCCAATAAGGCAACTTTCAAATACTTGCTCATTAACATCATCAGTTATGTTACAATCCATACAATCAACTAATTCTTCTGTCAACAATTTTTTCATATTGTCAGCACCCAAATAACCAAAACGACAATGCCAAATTGACTTTTACCTTTATCAACTGCAGATCCAAGATAAGATGTGTGTACTGGTTCAGAGTTCAATTTGTACAACTTTCATGATTATGTCCAATTGTAAATGACTTGTCATCAATTATGACTTTTACAGAACGGTCCTTTAAACTGAACTTCAGCCCCTCTTTCTGTCATTGATGGCAATGAAAGCAATTTATTTTGTACCTTTTGTACATACAAAACATCCTTCAGAACCACATCCACCTTTTCTGTGCCATCGTAGACTGTGCATGAAGACTTCCTTTCCCATAGGCAAGCAAAATTCTGTTATCAGCCAGTTTTACTTTTAGTGGCTCTTTAAAGATAATATAATCACAAAGTCCTTTCTTTTCTTGTGTCATATGCTGTGAAGCACCAGAGTCAATCCACCATTCATAACATTGGGGAATATTGCAGTCTACCGAAAATGCAATTTCTTGTTTTCTATCTTTCGCATCATCAATAGTTTCAAATCTATATGCACTTTCTTTCTTTCACTTTGTTTTGAGGCTTTCTTTCAATAGCTTTTCTTTTGAAACAATCAATTAACTAGAATTAATCAATAATATAATAATCAACAAAGATAGAAGTTAATAAAGCTAAGAAATTAACATAGCCTCTACCAAAAACTACTCGCATATTTATACATAAAATTTACTCTCAAAGGTATAAACGATTCTACTATAAGAAGCTTTTAACAACAATGGAGTTAATATCTCACGACTCCACAGGCAGTTGAGTCTACAGGGGCATTTATAAAACAAAACAAAAGATGCAAACAACTCGAAAACAAAGGCAAAAATCGTAAACAAGTCTAATGATGAACAACTATTTAAATGTAAACAAGTCTAAAACATCTCAAAAAATGAAAGTTTGTACTTAACACTGAAATTAATGCAAAGACATGATTATCTTTAACTGAGCATTTAAGCATGTGGTCGTCTAATTTCCTGAAATCTTTTAAAATATAAAGGTTTTACAGAACAGACCAATCAATGGCATCATAAATTCCTTTTTGAACTGGAAGGTTCCCTTTTGTTGTAGCAAGCATTTTTTTAAAACAGCGCTCTCTTTCATTGCATATTCAAATTGTGCTGGCTAAAGGTTTAAAGAGACCATCCCTGTCTTTCAGTTTTCATGAAATTATTTGATGGGTTTCCAGAGATAGAACCAATTATATCACAGCATGTCTTGGAAGCATTCAATTTCTGAACCATCTTGATAATAAAACCAGCTGTGTATGAAATTACTGTCTCTTTTTCTTCTGAAAACAAGACATATTTGGTGTGTCAGTTTAGTAGTGGTCTGGTTGGAAAGCAGGTCATTCAGAAAGATCATATTTGTTTATCAGTGCCACATTTGTGATTGGAAGCTGTTGTCACGAATCGCATATGATTTTCCTCTGAATGATCTTGGCTGAACTTTTACATCAGAAGGAATATTAATGGTGCAGCTGCATCTTCAACCAGTGTTTTGAACACTTTCATGTTCTTCTGATTGCAACTAGAAATCCTATAAAGCCAGTTTCCCTTTGTGTCTCAAATATATGCTTACCTGTTGTATTTCTTAGGGATGAGGGAAACTTGGTCGCAAAGATCCAGGATCAAAACTGGCACCAAGCTCTGTAGTCATTTCAAAATAGCAGCATTGACAATCAAATGTTACAGAGATAAATATGAGCACCAGTATCCCACAATCTCTGGATACATACATTAAAGGCATTCGACAAAGGTAAAAGTGACTTACAGCCACTTGACCCCCAGCAGTTGACCAATTGAATTGCCCACAGAGAAAAACATGTGAATATTTTATCCAGTTCTGCAAATCGGCAAGACCCTGGAGTGTTTCACTTGAGTAGTTTAAAATTCCTTTCAAATGCCTGTGCTCTGATCGAGTTATTTTTGGATTTGCTGTACTAATGCATGTCAAATGCTTTTAACAAGGTTAGCACATTCATGTCACTTAGCCAACCAACAACAAAAAAGCAAAATAAACCTTCCAAGGCCCATCAAAAGCAATGTAACTTTTGCCATAAAGGAGCAGTGCATTCCAGCACCAGCACATGAGTAATTTTTACCATTCCATGTAACCTGCTCCCTACTTGACATTTCATCCAGCATTAAAGCAATTACTACCCTATTGCCCTCAACAGCTGCTTCTTCAGCCTGTACAGGAATTTTGCTGTACCATCTGCGGATTTTATGCTTGGTGTGGGAGGGCAAGGTTAAAGCAAAAGAAACCTACCCAACTCGTAAGCCTTACTAGAATAGAATTGCAAAGTCAAATCAAATGATTGCAATTTGGCTGGATATTTGCATCATCTCCTGTTTTTTCCGAAAGGAATTCTCTTCATCAATGCAACAGTAGATAGAGTCTGCTGCAGTTGTTTTCCCAGTTTTCAGAGATGAAATTCCTTTTCCTGAGCTCCTTGACAACAGACTTCAAAGACAATGGATTTGCTGCCAGTTGCCTAGACTTTATTTGGCCACCGTTTGCCAAGCTTTTTAATTTCTGTTTGCTCTTTTTTTAAATTCATGGTTCAGGTTCCTTGGAGACTTGGCACAATTATTGCCACGATCATATTTGAAACATCACTGTATTGTCGGCAAACGATTGTAATTCCTATGTTGTGGCTCCTGGAGTTGACTGCATTCTGGCTCAGATGTTTGGAAAGAATGGTTTGGTGGTTTCTTGCCTTGTAACCTGAAGTATAGGGTGTATTGCTAAATGTTAATTATTTAAATATAGCAAATGTCATAATGGTATATTTAGTTTCATAGTAAAACCAGAGGTTAAATAAACATAATCATAAAATTGAACTTTAAATTTGGAAATATCATTTAATAATGTCCCTGTTTGATAATATATAAGCATACATATAATGGTTTTCATTTTAAATTTTTAAAATTAATAGCAAGATATTAGAACTTTCCAATGTTCTAGAGGCAGTAATGGCTGCACTCCCTTTGGTATGTTTCACAAGGACTGCACAACCTATTAAAGATTGAAGGGGCTAAAACGTTATTTGGAGGGGGTTTAAACATGCTCATAACCAAAGAAAGGGTGATTTTATAGTTTTAAGAACATGTTAGAAATATTGGGGGAGGCGGTTAAAGCCTCTTTTTGCATTGGCAGTATGTTTATCATTTGAGACTGAAACATTGTGGAAAATTTAAAATCCTGATCTGGATTTTAAAAAAGTTTCAGAAGGTTTACTATTCACTAAAATGTTTCTACTCTAGAAAAACCACTACATCTTTCTGCAAGTAGCTTCCTTTTAGATAAAATAAAACAGTTAGTGCATCGGGAAAAGAGCAAATTGACAAATTGTCTTATTTCTGTTTTTGTCATCTGTTACCATGTGAGGCTGTGATGATTGCCGTTTGTTGGTAACCATATACAAATTGCTGTCAGGTGGTCAATGGACAATGTCTTTTTTGATTTCTTGTTGAAACTCGAACTCCAGTAAGGATAAGTTTAGGCAGTGAAATACAAGAAGCAGAAGCAGATTTTTTTTGCGCTGTTCACTTTCTGTGAATTTGTATGGCAGAATAAATGAATTGAACCTCTTTATTAGGCTACCAAACAAAACAACGTATGTTTAAAGAAGTTGATAAAAAGCGTTGTTTAAAAATTATAAAAAAAGTTTAATAGCCACAATTCCTTTACGGCAAGTTAAGGACTTTCAAAGAAGTAGTTTAAGATACTTTAACTTTATGAATCTTACTATCAACAAAATAGCAGTAATGTTTTTCATTGAAATAAAAGTTTCCTAAATATAAGTATTGCTATCCTCAGCACCTTGTTGTAAAAGCTTCTTCTTTATTTTAACTTGTACATGAATCCAGCAAAGAAGTGGTTCACCTTTTAAAAGCAAGCACTCAGTGCTTTATAGAAATTTGCTTCATCTTCCATCTGAATGTCTTCATTGCAGCAAGGTTTGGGTGAAGACTCACCATCATATTTGGTAGGCTAAAGTATGACTCGTATGTCTTGTGTGAGTTAATCTGAATGGGACCAGTCAACACAGGAAATATGTTGGCTCCCTCCCTGTATAGCAAATGGGTGTAGTTTTTTACTACTGTAACATTGTAATCGAGATGTTGGAAGTTGGGTAGATTCCCAAGACACTTCAACAATAGTTAAAGATGGTAAATATGCATATGTCATTCAGTTGTCGATTATTTGCTAATAGAGCATTTAACTTTCAAGCTGTTCTAACTTCTCTTACAAATGCATTTGACTATTAGCAGGTCTCGTTGTACAACTCTATTAGTTCTACTTCCTTATCTATACTTCCTCATTCTTTACAGCCACCTCTTTTCTCACTATGTTGTATATCTGTTAAGTAGAATTAAGGAAATCTGGACACGATCTTGCATTTTCAAATCCATCAGCACTTTTAGAAAGCCTATCAAAAATAGCTTTTCCCTTCAGTACTTCTGGAGCCAATTACTTCATCTCAACCCTAACAGCGAACTCTTTTTCCTTATGTTTTTCTTGAAGCCCTTTCCAGAATGTTAAAAATCGAATTCTATCTTATGCTCACCATCATCAAAGTATTGTTATATCAAAGTATCAAAGTAGTATTGGACATAAAAGATTGGTATAATTTTACGAGATTCCAAATGCTTGACCCTGACAATTACCATATGGAAATCACTATGTTTGTCAACATAAATCGAAAATCGAACTCTTTCTGGTGCTCACCATCGTTAAAGTAGCATTGGACATAAAAGAATGGTAGGAAGTGCTTGACGCTTACAATCACCTTGTGGAAATCGCTGTTTGTTTTGTGAACATAAAGGTATCTTGTAGCAACATGCGTGCTATTGCTCTTATCAGCATTAAAAGCTTTGCCTTCTGAAAACTCAAAGAGAAATTATTTTTTCCTAGAGCCCTGCAATACACAGTTCATGTCTGTGCGAAAGTCGCTCCAGTAATTTAGTGCATTTATATCTACAAGGAATTCAACAATGTTTTTAGGTAGATCAGAGTGTACATGCAAATAAATTCAGGTTTGACACCAATGATAAGTAACTTGGCTAATTTTGCTGTTGAGCAAGGCTGACTTCCTCCCTTAGCACTTATTGGTAGAGTAACATGAAGAGTTTGGGGCCCCTTTAGTTCTATATCATTGAAAATACATTTTGGTCACATTTCCCCCTAATAATGTTTGAAAATGCAAATTCTGTAGGTTTTTCTTCCCATAAGATAAAATGTTTAAAGTTCACAGGCCCCACAAGAAAGGTTTTTTAATGACCAAATTCACTACTATAAAGCTACTTTTAAATGATATTCTGTTTTAACTGACATTGTAATCACCACATAAGCAAACAGTACTTGACATAAACGCCTCCTCAAACACTTGATCCACATTTAAATTCGTAATCTACACCCAAAACTACATTAGAAAAAGTTTGTGTCTAAAGCATGCCTGTTCCACCTTTAAGGAAACCCTCAAAACAAAGAAAAGTTAATAATTTAGAGGAGAGAATCAGATGATTCCCCACATGTTTTATTTCTTATACCATATGATCGGCCATTAATTTGAAATTGAGACTACAGAGAGAAGTCTGGACTACGCAATTTGATAATTTAAGAGACTTTCAATACTGACCCAGTTTTCTACATAAAAATATTCGTTTTGGTAAAAATCATAAATATTTTACCAATTATTGCTCATCTTGCTTGAACTGCAGTAGACCTTTTGCAAAAGCAGCGCTATTGCAACTTCTCTTGACTGGAACAGGAGGTAGTTTTCCCCTTTAGAACAAAGCGTCGTTCACCAACTGTCGATCCTGACACAGGGTAGAGATGCTGTGAACTCTATTCACCAATTGTCAAGTGATTTTGCTTGGCTGATCTTCTACTATTGGCACTAGGCCTAGACATTTATCTTAAAATATCAACTTAACAGTTTGAAAACTTTGCCAAACACGTCATAATTCTTTTACGCTTCAAATGCCTGGTTGTGTCTCTTCCCTCACTTGAAATAGGGCGTTACTCTAATGTCACTCATTTGATGTCTAGTTGAGCAGAAAATTTGCCAAGTGATTGCCGCTACACGTGCTCCAAAGTCAAATTAGGTGACGTTTCTCCACTATATGCAGTGGTATCTTTTTTGAAATCAAGATCATGACTTCTGGTTCATGTTTCAGCTGGTAATTATAAACATACAAAAGGCAACCATTCCTCGTTCTAGAGTACAGAAAATTGTTAATGTCTTATCATTTCTGTATTTAATATCTTTGATGCCTAAACACTTTTTGAATATATAAAAATTATTTATGATGTATTTAAGGGCTTGTTAATGATGTTGGCATACTAAAGATATCAGATTTGTTGTGTACATCAAAGGTACTCCCATCCTACTATAGAACAGCAATTGCTCCACTAGCCAACTAGGCCTTTTTATATATGTCTAGTGAATAGCTAATATAGTTCCGAGAATGTGTTCAAGTTTGCCAAAGCATCAAAATTACAAGGTGTTCTTTGACAACTATTTCACCCACCTTCTTTTACTTTCAAGGTTGAAGGAATGTGGCATGTTTGCTGTAGGCACCCTGCGTCAAAATCACATCAAGGGATGCGCCTTGAAAACAGAAAATGAATTGAAGAAGGAAGGCAGAGGATCTTTTGATGGTGCAGTTGACCTCAATTCTGGACTGACTGTGGTGAGGTGGTATGACAACAAAATGGTGCAGCTTGGCTCCAATTATGCTTTCACAGCACCAGTTGAAGCTGTCAGAAGATGGAGTACCAAGGAAAGGAAGTATGTTGATGTTGAAAGGCCTGCAATTGTGCAAATTTATAATGAAGGAATAGGTGGAGTCGATCTGTTTGATATGTTTCAAGCACTGTATCGACTTCACCATAGGTGTAAAAAGGGCTATATGCGGATCTTTTTCTGGATCCTGGGAACAAGCCTGATAAATGCTTGGTGCCTTTACCAGCGCCTTCAGTGGACAGGGTGGCATACCCCGAGCAGAGCAAACAGATCTGCTCCACTTCACAGTACAGGTGGCCACCTTGTTGATAAGGAGTTTTTTGCCAAAAAGAGGAAGAGGCAGAACAAGCCTCGAGCCAACAGAGGATGACATTGCAAAAAGGCCAAGAAGACTCCCCACAAGATTCCCCCAAGATGATGTTCGCCATGATGGATTCCAACATTGGCCTGAACATAGACCAGGCAGACCAAGGTGCTCAAAATGTAGAGATAAAACAAGGATTGGGTGCACCAAATGTAGGGTTTGACTTTGTATCACAGCTACAAGAAATTGTTACAAAGACACAAATTAAAAAACAATAACTTAAAGCATGCTAGCAAATTTTCAACAATTAAAGTGTATGATGTTTATTTATTTATTTATTTATTTATTCATTTATTTATTTATACAGGGTAACACTTTTGGGCTATTTGTCACTATTCTTGCAGCTCTATTATCCAATTGTAATTAATTTAGCTTAGTAGTTCAACAGGAGCCCAAAACAGAGCAGCAATAATTGAAGTTGGGCTCTTCTATACCCTTATACATATTGAGTTAGCTTTTTACAGTAATGCTCATGTAGTTCAATTACTTGACTCTTGTGAGATCACATTATATTTGGTTTCTATTGCTTCTGGCATTCGGTATATTTCCAAGTTTTGACGCAAATTAGTTTGCCACACCCAGCCCCACCCATACATTCAACTCCCCCAGGAATGCAGTAGACTGAACTTGACATTAGTTTCTTTTATGCAGCTATTCTATTTGGCAAAATGATTTGTAGGTGGTGATTACAGATATAAAGCTAGGAAGGAAGAAACTGTCAAATTAACCTTGAATTCCCAGAAGGACCATATGGCCCAGCCCCCAATTTTACCCCAAATAATGTGGAATATGAAAAATTGCAATAGAGATCAAATTCTAAACTATTTTTAAGCTAGAATCAGTTTGCTAAGATCTTTTTGCATCATTGGAACATAATTCGGGCATGAAAGGGTGTTAAACCTTGCAAGACTTGCCTCACAATTAGTGCCTAGTTAACTTTCAAATATGTGTTTCTAAATAACATAACCTTGTTTTGTCATTATTGTATTTCCTTGAGAGGTTTCCTAGAATACACATGCACTGATAGGGGATATTTTAGGCTCTCAAAAAACACACAATATGATACAGGATAGTCTGAACAAAACATAGTTAATGTGAAAAATGTTTTCTAAAAGCAAGCTCACATTGAAGTAGAATTGACACATAAAAAGAAGAACATTTTTTATTTGTGGACATTTGAATTCTTTGGCAGGTACTACACCCCCAACTGGGAGAATTTATACATTTTGAAGAATATCTGATTGAAATTTTGCAATTATATGTACTTTGGCCTTAAGAATGCAAAAATTTAATGCTCAAGATGGGTGGTGGAGACATGAAGCTCAAAATTTGCAACTTAAATCTATATAGATAGAGCTAGGGAATGAGTGATTTTAGGCTTTACATTCAACTCGCAGCGAAAGAAAGATATGGTTCAAATTACTGTACCTAAAATTTGTTGTGGGCATGTAAATTCTTCTAATAACAGAGTTCTTTGTAAGAACTTTGAGCAGTCCAAAATCACTCATTATTTAGAGCTACATTTAATAAACAAATCCTGAAAGTTTCAAGTCTATATGTCAAGGGATGTCAGAAAATCTTTGCCACAAGTATAAAATTTGTTCGGTTTTGAAAAACTGAGAAAATGTCAAAACAATGTTCGAGTTTGGGAAAATTTCAATTATTTAAATCTCATGGGCCCCAGATTCATAAATTGGCCCCTCTTTCTCTTTACTTCTGTCCCATAGCACCTTTTTGATAGCCTTCAGCTTCTTTCTCATTAGCTTTCCTCTTTCTGTTGATTGTTGTCCAGCGATGGCAATTCTTGTGTTGTTTCTTTTCAATATTGCCATTGTAGTGTGACACTATTCCAAGTTGCCCCTAAACTCTGGCAACTGCTGCTAATCCATCATTGTAAGTGGCTACTGCACTTGCAGTACACAGTTCCACAACCTTCTTTCCCTGAAATATCTTTTGGAGCATCTTTTCCGCACCAGGTTGTTCAATGACTCATTCTGGTTCTGGGTCAATCATAGATTGGTAAAGCATTGACAACTGCTTTTGGTAGGCCTTTGGTGTACTGATACTGATCTGTTTCATTTGCCATCCACACCAAGAATCTTTGCCCACAAATGGTGCTGTGGGGTTTCTTCTAAGAAGGCAAGATGGTAGAGACCTGCTTTGACGCCATTGGCCATGCCAATCAAGTTATTCTTATTTTCGCGGATGGAAAGGCAATAATAATTTTGCATGATATCTATCATCTTGTCAGTCAATCTACCCCTTCCACCAATAGCTTTCCCACCAGCCAGTTTCTTTTTTGTGTAGGCAGTTTTCAATTTTCTTAGTCTAGTGCCTAGCCTTTTCTACACATGCCCCACACACACTCTATTTTGAGAATGGTAACCTCTTCTCCATAGGGCTTTTGATTTGACACAGTTTGATATGTGAAGGAGTCACCATCTCCTTCAAAGGATATATACCTAAGTTCATGTTTTTCCTCAGATCTTTTAAACATCTCTAATATTCCATCAACTTTCATCTTCCCTGATGATCCAAGTTCCACAAACCAAACCACGATCAAGTTTAAAAGCCAAATATTTTGTACTTGTTTTATCCATATCTTTATGAGCTTCACAGTATTTACATTTTTTTACTTTACCTGAAAATCCAGGGTCTTGCCAGTTGATACTGAGACGGCAGACACAACGCCATTTAGGTAGGCATGGCCCTGGCTTCTGCCAAGAGCCGTCAAAACTAGGAATAATATCTGTTGACTGTTCTTTTGCTTTGACCTCTTCAGCTGCATTTTTCATACTTTCTTCAGCCTCATTCATATAAACAGTATGCAGAGAGTCAATCGATTTATTGTAATTATTCCTTGTCATTGGCTGCTGCATATTCATATGCATACAAAAGCCATGACTGCTCTTTGACCTCACATTGACCTCAAAGCTGTTCTTTGATTTCTCTCCCTCTTCTTCGACATAGTTACTAGAAAGAAATTCATGTTTCCAGAAACAAATTTATCATTGCATTTGAAATGAAGCAACAAGTCTTTGTTTCTTTCTAGGAATCTCTTTTAGTTTTACTCCTTCATCGCTTTTACATCATGGACAAGATACAATTGAGAAGAGACTTCTTAGCACATCAACACTAAAAATAACAAATCCGCTGTTTTCATCTTCCTCATGGATGCATGAAACTGCTACACCATCAAGCTTCTTCGATGAACTGCTTACATTTTGTCTTGGCAAACGGGAATGGTGCTAACAACTGGGGCTAGGCCCACTGACAATTCAGCAGTCGAACATGGCAGTGCTTCTTCCAGCAATCCTATCTCCTTTACCAACTTTGCTTCTTTTGCCATCTCTACTTCAATTTGATTTCTTTTTCGCTTTCTGGATGTTGTCCTTGCTCTGTTCTTGAGGTTTCTCATGGTTATATTTCAAAATTTGTTTAGAAACACAACAACAGAGAAACACAAGTAACAAAACGTACTAAAGAGGAGTCTAGTACTTCATTCAAAACAAACTAAACTGCCTCTTTTGGACTTGGCCACTTCTTTGAACAATTCACTTCAATTGAAAGCTCATTCTGCGACTGGTGGGGGAAATTCGGGGTAATAAAATGCAGTTTTCACGTTGCTCAGGGCGTTACTAAGGAAATTTTGGCACAGGTGCTTATTTTTGATCACCTAAATTTCAGTTGCAGCTAACACCTTTCATAAATCAAATCTGCTGTTTTCAAAGAGTATAGTTCAAACTATTTTTAAAGAATTTGTATAGAAATAGAATTATAAATGTTACGGGCAGAAGCTAAAGCTTAATTTCACTTAGGCCCATATGAGTTGGGCAACTGCACATGATGTTGCATTATGCCGTGAGATTCTTGTTCTGGAGCCATATAAATTTCAAGTGGGTACTAGAGAAAGGGCCCAATGCTGGGATTCAATTGCAGAATTTTTGAGTTCTCTTGGTTACTCAAAGTTTTTGGTAGACCCAAGGACAGTAAGAGATCAATTCTCAAAGTTTTGGGGAAAAATGGCTAGCAAGGAACAGGTAAGTGGGATACCCCTTGAAATGACAGAGCTTGATTAAGCCCTAGAAAACATAATTGAAATAATGGAGGAGGCAGTGAAAACTGGGAGAAGCAGAAAGCAGGTGGAAAATGAGAAGCAAGTCTCAGAGACTGTTAGAAAACGGTTGATGGAAACATTAGCAGAAACAATAGAGAGAGAGAAGGGAGGAAAAGGAAAGAAGATAAAGAGACACTGTTAGACACAATTGAGTATTTCAAAGAAAAAATGAAAGGGGGAAGCATTTTATGGAAAAGAAATTGGAGTTGAAAGAAAGAGAACTGGGTGTCAAAGAAAAGGCCTTGAAGATAAAAGAAAAGGAAGTGGAGGGGAAACTGCATTGTTGTCAATACGAGGAATGGTAAAATAATATGCTGCTGCAGCTTGATGAGAAAGTTAATTTTTTGAATCAACAGCAGCAACAGCACCATATTTTTTGCAGGAGATCAAAGAGCAAAATGCTAAAATATTGAATTTAATTAACCAAAGTTCTTCAGACTAATAATTTTCAGGCATTTTTTTCTGAAAACATTTTATTGATAAAATTTGAATATTTAAAAATTATCCACCAAATGAAAGCCTAGAACTGGTTGAAAATTGAGTGTCTACCATTGCTGTCTCCATCTTCTTACTATATTTTTCGAAGTACATACAAGGCTGAAAGGTTGCTGCGCTTGTGGGTTTCTCTAAAATTGCAATTGCCTACAATGAACCTCAGTACCAAGGGCTAAATCACTGTGGTTTCCATTTGAAAATTCTATCCATCTGCTAACAATTCTCTTTTCTTAATAAACATGATTCTTATGATAAAATGTCACTTTTTATTGAGAGCAGCAGCTATTTGAGAAAACATGTTAATTTACCAATATTCTTATATTTTTCCACTTCACAACTTTCAGCCTGCTAAAACTTTTTAAAGTACTTTTTTTCCGAGAAGAAATAGCAAAATTTTTGAAAATCATTTGTAAATAACAATGCTCTAACCTGAACAACATTGACTATCTATTGACTTTTGCTGTGTTGTTACTTATGAAAATTACTGTGCACCAGGCTGTCATAAAAGTGCTTGGTACTATATCAACAGGGCTTTTATGTTTTTGACTGAAACTAGGAGTTGCAACTTGGAGGTCTCCAGTTATATGCACTAAAGTAAGTTGTTATTTAAATGAAATGTAGTGATGAAATTTGTCAAAACCGTGTGCACAACTGAGTTTGAGATCACTAATCGAATGGTAGTTTTTAAAAAAACTTGTTTTTGGTTTAAAATTTGCTGGTCTCCTTAGGCATATTCAGAAACTTAAACTATGAACTTAAAACTATTGATGATATCCCCAAAAATCCATTCAATTGACAGCGTACTCAGCTAATAAACTGACTGAATGCATGCTTTTCTGGTGTCAGGTTAGGCCTTTTGGGAAATGGGCGTTTGAAATGAACCCTGTGGGGGTATGCCGGATCACCATACAGACATAGTGCTTGACTTTCTGGGGAGAAAAAATACTCTGCCAGTTGAGGTAAAAGCCCAGACATTGCAAGCAAAGCACTGCCATGAAGCCTTCCCTCTACAGGACCGAACTGGTTGGCAATCAAACCATTTGGTGCAACTACCGATTGGAATTTGATTGCATGGACCCTTTTGTGACGGTTGTAAACAGCCCTTTAATTGCGTTTTGGTCTGCATATGGGTCTAACTGTACTGTCGATAAATCCTCAGCAGTTATCTAAAGCAGCACCTCTCTGGTGAATGGCATCTGCAAAAGCCTCCAAATTGGTCCTAGAAAGCCAGGTTGGTCTAAGTTCTGGAGAAGATAACCAAATCGTGTGTGTAATATCCCAACAAGCTTGTTTGAAATCATGCTCAGCTTAGGAACTGGTCGTCCAAACCTTGGAATTAAATCGCCATATCTGCAAGGATATGAAAGGCAACAAAGGAGAATGCAAAGTGCTTCAACGGAGTCAAAAACAACACCATTGTAGACTCTTATCTCTGGTGGCAGATGAAGTGCATCTATCATGGTGTAAACATCTTCCTTCTTGAATTTTCCTTTGCTCCAAATCAAGCCTTGCGTAATGCCAGTAAAGGAAGTACAGATTCCTTCGAACATTTCTATCTGCCAGTTGAAGTAACTCCATATCATCCAACATCCAACTCCAACATCAACGAGACTGTTGTAGGCATAGAGAATTTCATTAACTCGATCTATGTTAGCCATGTTGACTTTTAGTCCTCGTATTGGGATTTTGTAAAAACAAGAACAAAATTGGGACAATGTGACCGCGCTAGTTTACAGGCCCCTTGTGAAACGTCTTCTTGGAAAATTGTAAACTCTCTAATCTCATAATTTTCACAGCCATCTATTAAAGTTTCAAATTTTTTCTAGCAAAGTCATAATAGTAGTAAAGACACAATACCGTGAGCCCTCGAATTAGTTCCCTAGGGTGCTAAAATGAATGTAGACATTAATAAGACATTAATAGGAATCTGTTGAGGTAATTCAATAAAATGCCATAGACAACCTCACATGGCAAAATCGTCTAATGGAGGAGTTCAATTCAAGAATTTTCGGTAGCAGTGGGGCCTTTCTCGAGGGAGGAGCTTTTTGACAATTTGTAGTTCTTGGGTGGGGGCTTATTCAAAGGGGGTTTTTTCAAGGGGAGCACCAATTTGAGGATTCAAGGTATTTGTTTCCATTTTCTGTCTTCATCATCTCATAACTTGTTTACACTAAATGCCTTGTCTGAGTATCAATGTGCTTAACAGGGATAATTTTTATCTAATTTTTGATAGACATACTTTTCTGCTTGAACTTTTTGTTAGTTCTAAATCTCATCGAGATCTGTCACTCTTACAGTAAAGCTCTGCCTTTAAGAAACCATTTTTGCACACCCAACTCTAGGGAAGTCCTTGAAAGTAGGTTGCAACATGATAGGATCATTTGTATATTATAAATTCAATGTTGGGGCTCTTTTTAGAAGATTTTGAGGGGGCAAGTCCACCACTGATATCAATAAAATCAGTCTATGATAATAGTTTGTTTGTGTTCAATTTCTAAGGTCTTATTTTCATTAAAACTTTACACTAAGAGCAGGTAACAAATTACACAAAGCTGAACAAAGTGTGACAATATCATCAGCTAGTGGTAGAAGGGTAATTGGTAGTTCTCTCTTTAAGATCCCAAATGTTTTTATTTGTCGCAGGAATTTGTCGATTACAAGTGATATAGCACAGACTGATTTTTCTGCAGATTTTTTGGGAAACATATGTTTTAAAAGCTGGTTTAGATTCAGCTCCATTGTTTGTGTTGACATTTCTGTCTAGATTGCTCTCTTCGAATGCTCTGGCCAAAGCAGCCACCACTGGTTAATGTACTCTCGAATGTTAGGTTTTGAACATTGGAAGATAAAGGTTATCAACGGCAAGTTGAAAAGGATTAGCGTTCTCTTTATCATTTGCTGGGGCATCAGCTACAGCATGTAAGTATCCCAGTATCTCTTTCCTTACTTTATGACTTAATGTTGACTCCTTCAGTTCGTCCAACCTCAACATTCTGAGAATACTGTCATTCTATAAAATAGTATCAATACTACTTATACCTTTTATACTTATACTTATAATGGTGTTAATGTTTTGGGTTCTATATTTTTACTATGAAACCTTTTCCAAGTTGAGATACTTTGGGTGAGTAAGGCATCCGGACAAAAAATGAGAATACCTCTCATTGCCCAACTCAATAGCACTTATTTCATTTTGGAAATATCACACATGAAGAATCATGGTTTCCAACTTGGATTCCAATTCTTTAAAACAAGCAATGCCTCTTCAACTGACTCTCTGTTCTCTTCTTGAGTGATAAATTCCACTGAAACAAAGAGAGCACAGATTTATGTATTTGATACCCACTATGCAACTATGCATGTTTTTGGAAGGGTAGAATTTGGGCTCTTTTGCAAGGATTACGAATCCGTGCAAACCAAAGATAAACCAATGGCATCACAATCGTGGTTGTTGGGACAATGTTCAAAATTATGTAAACTGACTGTCGGAGAACTGGGAATCAAGCCTACACATAGTTTAATTGAATGTACCTACAATTTACCCCCAGCATTTGTATTTACAATGACAAAGGAAAGAGGAAGGGCGTATTTGGTTGTTTTGTATCTTGCATCCACCAAGCATATGTTGTTTCCGTAGTTTTTCAACAGGTCTTGCTGCCATGGTTCTTGGTGGACGGATGTAGCTTTTGTTCAAATTGTCTGGATTTTATTTGGTGAGGATTGAATTCGCTAACTTCCATTGAATTTTCACAACTAGGGCTGTTCAAATCTTCTTGAAGTCTGTCTTCTCCACCATCGCAAATTTTTCATGCTTGGAAGGAAAATTTTTGTTCAGGGTTTTGTTTCTCCAATTCTTCGATTCTATGCTGTAAATTTAACTGGTCCATACACCTAAGTTTATGTTTCGTGGCAGCAATATACATATGGTTTGCAATGCATCTGTCTCTTGCAAATAGTGCGGTGTGAAGTACATTTGGTTTTTTGCTGGTGTGTGCAAAGATATCATTCAGGACAAAATGTTTCAGCAGTTCTCTCTTTGTCTGGACATTGGATACACCTGTAAAAGAAAAGGTATATTATTTTGCCATATATTCTACACTATATCTCAGATGGGGGAATTAAATCAATGACGAAAAACATTGTATAAAGATAAAGGCAAACATCATTAAGGAATTTCATACTAAATTTCCGCATAGATATTCTCAACATTTTTGTTTTTCTTTATTTCTTAATGTGAGATAAACTTGTCACGTAAAATTGGATTTCTTCAAATTTCAAATCTAATTTCTAGTTTTGTTTGGATAGCGAAACTTTCTACCTGAACTTTTTAGTTTGTGAATTTGGTCATTCACATTTCTGGTTTATTGGTTGGCCAAGCCCGTCAAAAAACACCAACAGCATGCGATGGTGGCATTTGTCCAGAACAGACAGGTAATAACGTTTAAATGTTTTAAGATCTGAATTTTTGACATTTTTCTTCAACTTGCACAACCATTTCTTCTTTGTAAGTCTGTCAAACAATGAAAGAGGAAATATGCTTTATGGCTGAAAAGAACATTTTTGTAAGAGGAAACCTGTACCATTTACAGAGATAAGGAAAGAATCCAGCTGCTCTGTTGCCTTGATAATTGACTGGGATTGGAAAGAACTGTTTGGCAGCGATTTAAGATATTTTCCGGCATATGCTTTCTGTCATAGACATTTTTTACCATGTAATTCTTTTCAGCGTCTGCTTTTTGTAATTCTATTCCAGATGTAAGTTAAAAGAGCAATGTTGTGCTTTCAAAAACTACTGTTGATATTCCACAGTTACTTTTAACATTCTTATTTAAAAAATCTGAAGTACTCTTACATGTCTGCGACTTTCAGTCTTGGCTTTATCAGATATGTCATATTCTTGGAACACTGTTATAATTAGCACAAAGATCTTTGCAGGACATCCAGTATTTCGCCAATCTTGCAGCCTTGTTGGTCTTTTTTCCAACTTGGATAAATATTGTTGCTCACCTGAAATTTCACAAATAAAAACCCACATAATATTTTACTTATTAGCCGTTAAGATTCTTGTATCCTTATCTCCATGTTATTGGGAAAAATTTAATTTTGCATGCATGCTATTAAAACATTCTGGATTGCCAAGCATATTTCATACACAAGCCTCAAAATACTGCTGTTGTTACAAAAACAAGGCAATGATACAAATTGAAAGTAAAGAATTACCTCTGGTACACCTTCTTTATGTCATGTCTGTTCTGTCTGTAAGTACATTAGAGCTGCACATTAGTTTCTACTTCAAATGGACTGTCAAAGAAGTTTATCAGATCATGTCCACCAGTGCTCTGCCAAACTGGATCCCCTAAAATATAGGACAGGATACAATTAACTGTTGTCTTTCCTTTTCAGCTCCAATCAAAAATCAAGAGTTTTTAAAAAAGGTAGATCCCTTTCTCAGGCATTGCAGTGATTTGTGATTTCATGAATATGGATGTCATCTTTCGTCAATCATTAATTGAAATCCTTGGTGGATACCAGGCATAACTGCATGGGAGGGGGTGGAGTCAAAGAGGCAACATTTTCTTAAGATTAACAGTTCCTTGTTAAAATGCATGTATTTTTTCAATTAACTGTATGGTGGGGGTACTGATGCCAACTTAGGAATCTGATAACTTACCTTCAGTAAGATGTAGCCTTCTTTGCGGTTCCCTTTACCCTACTCCCTCTGCTACTTCATTTCTATGATCTTCATCCCCTTGCTCATTTTTCCAATTTGTGAAGCATCCTTAAGCTGATCCTCACCCTGAGTTTTTTCTCTCTACTGCCATTCGCACACAAAATGAATTTGAACTTACATCAGAGAAATCATCGAGAGAGTTTCTATAGTTATCTATAGAAATTTTAGCAGCTCCTTTTTAAGTTCTAAAAAAATAATATAATCAATGATAACCACAAAATTGACTCAGAGTGGATGGAAATTTCCGAATAAAGTTTAATGAACCAGATTTGAGTGATGTGTATCAAATCTAAGCAATTTTATAATCAAATGCATTTGTTATATTTATATTAACTGTGTTCTACTTCAAAAAACCTTTCACACTTGCTTTCAGAATCCATTAAAACTTAAATATATGATTTTGTTGAATCTCTCCTGGGATAAATGTGTGTCTTTCAAACATAAACTGCATAAGAACTAGTCAACTAACTTTTTTTAAGGTGCAATGAATCAAAATAGTGCTTGATATCTTTGTGGTCTATTCTCATAGCTTTCCTTATTGTTATATGTCGATCTGACACAAATGTTGATATTTTCAACCCAGCACTCTCCGTGTTATTGAAGCATCGCTTGAAACCTTCAAACTCCATTGCCGGACTATTACCAACTGCATTACGCTAAAATAAAAATTCGACAAACATAAAAAGTTGTATAAAAAGACATGCTCTAACATTAGATAAATTGAAAAATAATTTCTCATAATGCTGATAGCAATTGTGATTGCAAAAAAAACTTACATCTCAAGAGATCTTCTAGGTTATTAAGATACCTTTCATTAAGATACATTAAGATCCAGTTGTTAAATAGTGAGGTTTTCATGATATTGAGGAATCCACTTACATTACAATCTTCGGGTATTTCAACAGCTTCTTCAACTTCTGCCGTCTCGGGACAATGCAAATCTGTGGCTGATTCTTCCGTTGCGATGGACCCGAATATGTTTCAAATGGTCTGAAAAATTTTAGAACTTTTGAAAATTACCTTACCACAGCTAATCATGTAATCATGTAAATCATGTAAATTGATAACTGCCGTTATGAAGCGAATTTAGGTCTTTATAAGTGTTACATTTCTGAAAACGTTAACACTGTTTACCTGGAGATGTGCCCTAGACCTCTTTGGCTTAGGCCATGTAGATTCTCCAGTCGCAACCAGTGCTGAAGAAGCTATAGGGTACACTGTCGTAAAGACAAGGATGCCAAAATCATTGCGCTTCAACTTGTTGGTCCAAGCAGTGCTGTGAATTTTCTTAGGAAATCCTCTTCTCTGAAATGATCGGAACAGACAGCAGAGTACTGCGACAGAACAAAATTGACACGTTTTCGTCGAACAAAGTCAAGCCATTTTTTTTATCCTGCGTTTGGCTTCTGGCCTTTCATCCTCCCAAAATGTCATCCTTGGAGCTGCGAGGGGCATGTGAATTCGGAGAAGAACGCAAGTTTCACAGCAAAGCAATAGTACTAAGCTAGTGATATCGTTTTTCTTTTATGTTAGTTACTTGTGAGGTTCTGGATTTTATTATAAGGCTCTAAGGACACGGGTGTTCTGTGAAGTTTAGTCTGTGAAGCTGACAACTGAAGATCCTGAATTCACATTCAAGTATCACACATCCAATATTACATTTGTATAACTTACTAGACTATATCCTATATTACATTTCTATAACTTACTAGACTTTATCCAATATTACTATAATTGGAAACAACAGTCAAGGTCGAATAGTCCCTGTTGAAAAATGGCACTCTCTTGTTGACGTAGCAACCCACAAATTTCAAAATCTTACACTTTTAGAGATTCTGATTGCTTGAACTTCGGGGTTCTCAAATCGAAGGCAAGAACATACTTCAAAGTGCTGCATCTATGCATACATCAAACGTAAAGCCTAGTTTTATATAAGAATTTGTATGTGCAGTAGTTATGTGACCAAAACCAAGGTCAGCAATGAGGAAGGTGGCTGTCATGATAATCTCTTGAAACAATATAAAAGCCTGTGGGACTCAGGGGAAAATATGATTTATGAAAGATATACTGATCATTCATTGAAAATTTGTGTTTTCAATCTTTTTTTAGTTTCTTTATCTTTGAAGAAAATTCGCAAGAATCCTTTTATTGAATCCAGATGGACAATAAAAAATACGCAGAGATTTTTGAATATCTTGAGAAGCATTGCTTCCCAGTCAATGCTTCCCAGGATGAAAAAAGATCAATCAGAAGAGGAAGCAAAAATCTTGTCATTCAAGGTATTGCTATTTGATTTTCTAAACTATTTCTAGAATAAACGCTGAGCTTTCCTTCAAAAAGAAAGGTAATGTATAATTTTAGCAAAATGTTTCAATAAATTATGTATCAAATGTTTTGATACTGCTGCTTTTCAAAAGAGACAATGTTCTTGTAGGCGTTGAACTTCACAAAAGAAAATCTTTTTTAGGATGAAAATTTAGGGATTATATGCTGTTAAATTCTGATAATATTGAGACTAAAAACTTGAGACTATAGTGTTTCATAAAAATAAAATTTAAATCACATTACATGCTATTTAGCAGCTTGATTGCTCAGATGAGCTTGATTGTTATGATCAAATAATTCTGCTAGGAACAGCCCCTGTGCTTTCCTAAATTAATCAGCTTTTTTCTTTATTTATTCAAAGTTGGAATGTGCTTTCCTAAATAAATCAGCTTTTTTCTTTATTTATTCAAAGTTGGGATACATGTTTCTTGTGACACAAAAGCCAATTATATCAATTAATTTTACTTACCATTGCATAATATGTTGATAGTATGAATCATACAAAGTAAATGCTACATATGTATTTCTTGTTAAGGTCATATATAAAATTGAATGAAGACAAATTTGAGATTTTTTCTTGAATAACTATAGACATTAGGGCTGAAACTATATGACATATATGACATTATAAATATTAATCTATTTATTTTGTAATTATTATATAGTCATATAATAATTACATTTGCTTTAAATTCTTGGGAAATTCTTAAGTTATACTTCATTCTTGGTAATATTTTATGCATTAAAGGTGGATTTAAACAATTCAATGTTACTGCCTGCACTATCAATTTTATAGAGAAAAACTTGACAGATTTTCTAATTTCTTAGGAGAAAAGCTATTATACAGAGCCACTTCGAAAGCAAACAAAGGCACGCAAGTGTTTCATAAGAATAGGCAGGTCGTGAAAAGTGAAGGAAGGGCCAGGGAAGTGTTCAGAGCATTTAGTTCAAGCCTCATGGGTGGCACACTCGCCAAACAAAGACAGGAAATGCGATCGCTGAACGATACTATTGGCCAAGACTTTGGAAGGATGTAACAAATTGGGTAGGAAATTCAATATTTAGTTGAACTAAGTGAGAAAGAGCCTTTTTAGTTATTAGGCATATTGTGAATGATTTGAATAAATCATCTCCATTCAATTTTGATTATAGGAGAGTTGCTGTGAAGAGTGTCAGTGGAAGTGTGACATCAAGGTTGTTAAAAAAGAGCTGAAGCCTACTAATGTAAGTCTCTAGAATATTCTGGAATTTTATTCAACTAGTTCATAACACTCGTACATCAGTGACACCAAAGGTAGGACAAAATTGGCTTTAGCCCCTTCCCTTTTTTGCTAGCTTCTGCTATGTAGCTGGTTTGGTTGCAAAAATCCAAAAGTACAAAGAAGTAAAAGAAAGTTGGCATGAAAGCAAGAAATGAAAAATGAAAAACGGGCCAAGCGACAACAAAAGGACTAAGAGAGCACAAAATTGAATGGAGGTAGTTTATTGTCGACTTTATTATACATAGTATTGCAACTTTTATGCTAAATTATAAAACAATTATTGAAGTTGTTATATGATTGTTAATGTCAAAATTTCGATCTCACTAGGTTGAGCATGAATGTGAGGTGCGATCCTCAAAGCGACCAATGGGTATTTGTGAGCCAAAATTCATACTTGCTACAAAAAGATTTGGATTCCAGTGGAATCTACTGCTTGAAGGTATGATCATTTATATTTTTTCTGACACAGAAAAATATATTTTTGTTCTTTAGCATGCTCATAAGATTTCGGGGTTTCTGAAAATTGGCGCTTTGAAAAAAAGAAGATAACCAGTTAATCATGAGCAATTTTGTGTATGCATACCACTTTTGCGTACGTATGTATTTCATCAAGCCAATTTTAAAGCTAGAATAATACTCAAATTTTTGTAGTACGCTGATGTTATTCTCGGAAGGAAACTGTTCCCACATACAGTTGACACGGCAAGGGAAAGAACTCTTCTTGGCACCTCTCTCATCACATTTTCAGGTATCTTATATATGGATATTGACAAAATTTTAACATAAGAAATCAAAAGATAATCTAGGGTTAAAGCAATTCATTACTGCCAAATTAAAGTCTTTTATGGATAGAATAGCAAATTTTGTATACTGTCATTCGGCAGGCCCAGTGTTGGTTGGGGAGCCTTTCAAATCTACTTAAAATTTGTGTCATGGCTGTTAAAAGCCTGTCAATGAACGAAAATAATGCAATAATGTTAACATTGTACAATATATTTGAAGGTCCATTGGTACATCTCGTAAAATATTCTGTATTTATATCGAATATAAAAATTTAGATTGCCTATTGTCATAGATGCAATGATTCGGTTAGTACTTTCTTTGGTTTGATATCTATTTTCATGTTTATCCTTCAATGATCAAGCCGCAAAAGTAATTTCCTGGAAAAAACGTGAAAACTTGAGCTTATATTATAGGTTTGGTGTAAAAAGTGCATCAAAGAAAAGCAATTTCACGTGGCCTGCTTGCCATCAAGTATAGAGCAGAAGGCCGAAATGGAAAATGGACTGACAGCTCATATCTGTTCATACGCGAGCAGGGAACAGCGGCATCAGCATCTTCCACAGTATCAGCATCGGCATCATCTTCAGTATCAACGTCAGCATCGACATCAGCATCATCTTCAGCACATACACTACCAAAAGCATCATCCAATGATAAACAACCGTGGCACAGTCCAGAATCTCCATTCATTTTGAAGCGTTGGAGCAAATGGATTTCGAAATGCCAAGGATGCCAAAGGTTTTACAAGGATGAATCATTTGTAGCTTGCCACAGAGAGGGTAGAAGAATTTTTAAAAAAATACTCAAAAAGTTGATGGTGGTTCACAATAATGGCTATTACCATGCAAATTATTCTTGCATCAAAGGCCGCCACGATTACTTTTCATCAACCAGTCTTGTTGTGCCACAAACACTTCAAATTTCAGTTGCAGAAAAAAATTTGTTGAACAGACGAGGATTTTTAATTTAAAATATTTATTTTTTCTCTGGTATTGTTGATTTGATGCCGAAAATCTCATCTAATTCTATTGTATTGAACCACAAGCAAAGAGCAACATTTCACTTGTTTCAAACTTTTAATGATGATGTACAGAAATTTGTGATTCCATCATATTTTTTATGTTGATAAGAAAACTATACTTCAGCCAACCAGCAAAGGCCAGGTAGAAAATTACCAAGCAATCCATCAATACCAAACAAGCATGACCTAGATCCCAATTTAATACATTGCAAAATTTTGATATTAGCCAACAGATAGTTTGCCCTTGAATTAACAGATTGAGAAGGCTGAATTAACAGAAAGCAACGATTGAGAAGGCTGTTTGGTGCTTTTTTCAATTATGGAATGGCTTTTAGTTTAGGTACTACCTAGTCAAAGACAAGGCAATTAGACATCACTGTACAATGTTTGGGTTTGTTTTAACAAGTTGCATGGCTGGATCTAAACAGCAAATTACACATGTGTGGCTGGGCTAGGATCAGCTTGCAGTCATATAGCTACAAGCTGCAGCCCATTTTTGTTTGAACCAGCCAACAGCGTCAACAAGCTTGTTATGTGCATGAAAATCTTTAAAGAAACATGTCATACCTGCACCTCTCTTTTCTACTGATTTTAGCCAACCAATAAGGAAGATGTTGCCAAAGCCTCGGACACAGATTACAGTATACAAGAGCTATAGCTGTTTGAATCCAGCAGTTGGAGCATATCCTATTCTTGTGTATATGCTAAAAAGCAGTTGTGTTGACTAGTTTGCCACTGTATAAAATTATGGACAGTAGGGGCAGCCTTCTGAAAAAGATGTAAAAATTATATCCGATTCTGGTAGTGAAACACACACCAATATAGTGCTCACACTTTATCAAAACCACCAACCAATCTTTTTGACCCTACAGATAACACAGAACAGATGACTACCTACATAAGTATGGGAAGAAGTCGTATACTGAATATTGTGAAAGGAACTTTCAAAATTCCTATAGACACTCTTTTTTTGGGAAATGAAATATCAGAGTGAAAATAAAGTAAGAGACTCGACAGTGAGGAGTGTTATCAGAATAAGGGGCAGTCAATCTCTTATTGAAACAATTGTGCAATACAGGCCAGACTTCTCTACAATTTACATAACCTATGGTAAGGAGATGGAACCTGCTACACGAGAAATTTGAAAAAGAAGAATGTATGAAGCATAAAAATTTCAAAGATGAGCAGGCTTTACTGTTGATAATACTGCCACACCACATTTAGGCTCTTTTTTCTTTCTTCATGAATACTGGCACGAAATTTTCAAATTCCGGTGTTTCACCCTGTCTTGTAGTCTAAGGCTGAAATATATTTTTGTTATGATAAATGTAGCTCAAAATATAAATGTTTTCATCTCACCTCATCTTCAGCCATGTTGATCAATGCAGAGACACAAGGTATCATTTGAAAGCTTGTTTTCCCACGAATTGAACTGAAGCAACACATTGGCCTTTGTTATTTTCTGTATTTAACTGGTGATTATAGGCTAGTCAAACAATAGAGTTGTCACGAGAAACCATTTCCATTCAGAAGATTTCATTGGCTGATTTGAATAGTGGTCATCTTTGATTGGACAACCAAGTCAGCTGTTGGCTTTGCAAGATTGCATCGGTGTTAACAGTTTTCATATTCTTCGACTAAACATTGCACAAATATAGTCATACTTTTGATACATTTCCATAATTGGTAGGGTAAATCATAAAAAAGTGATGAGAAAAAGTGAGAAAGATAAGCAGCCAGAGACATTTGAAGTACGAAAGACGAAGTTGCAAAGTTCCAGTGCAAGAAAAATGGAGTTGCTAAACATCAACTCCCTAAGGGAACTGTCGAATCAAGTGACTGATTTATGATCTGTCAGAAAGAAGCGCTCAACAAACTTCTTTGTGCTGTTCCATGCTCTAAGTGTTTTGTTGCTGGTCAAGTATCCTTGGAATTGTTGAGGGATGTTCGTTGGGCCTATCAGTACGAGCGATGTTGGTTTGCAAATCCTGTAAAGAAACATTAATGGAAGACTATCCATGCCAGCGTGTTGGTGGATCAAGACAGTCTGAAACTCCTTTCAAAGTCAATCTTTGAGGGGTGATGGAATTTAGATTGATAGGCTTTAGACATTACGAGATTGGTGTGGACTAATGACCATGCCTTGTTCCATGTCTAAAGACTATAAAAGCTATAGCTATAAAAGTGGTCAAAATAAATTACATGAAGGCAGCAAGGTCACCTATGAAGCTGTCATGAAAAAGTCTGTCAAAGCAATCTTCCAAACTTATGGAGAGATGGGCATGAAACCTGTTCAGGATTGAGTTTTAAACATTGGTGTTTCTTTTGATGGGACATGGCAGAAAAGGGGTAATTCTTCCTATAATGGTACAGTTGCTGTGATAGACATTTTAACAGGTCTGCCCATTGATTCTGAAGCACTGAGTAACTTCTGTTACAAATGTACTGTTGGACCAAAGGAAACAGATTATAATTATGCTGAGTGGTTTAAAAGGCACCTAATCATGATAGTCCAAGGCATATAAATTGTCCCACTGGGAAAGACTCATGGGTGTTTCTCGAATAGGCACCTGAAAAACACAAGGAGCGTACACTGAGGCCAAAGAAGAGGCACCTGAGAAAACACAAGGAGCATACAACTTTTCCAGTTGAAATCTGTAAGCGTCTTGTACCAATATTCAACTGCCTTACTAACAGCAATCTGTTGATGCCAAAACAAAACTCAGAATCCAAACGAGTGTCTTCACAGCAAAGTTTGGCAAAATTGCCCCAAAAATTTGCAAGAAAATGGTTGAGATTGGTGTCTACATGGCAAGGTCATCGGTTTGCAATGGGATCTACAGCTCAAGAGACACGATCTCGCACACTTGGCCTGTTGCAGGGTACATATTTGATGAAAAATGCAAAGAGACAGGGAAAAAGTAATGAAGACTGCAGTGGCACAAACAGATGAGGAAAAACAGAGGAGAAAGAAATATTCAAGAAACAAAAGTTAGCAAGAGAAAAATGAAAAGTGCAAAGTGAAGAGAAAAAGGGAAGGTGAAACCTAGAAGGCTGGTAGTTTTGATTAGGATGCTTATCCTTAAAAAACTTTTAGAAAAACACAAAAAATAACTTTTAACAGAGTAGAAATAGTTTAACCCTTCTTATTCAATGTTTTCTGTTTGAATAAATGCATTCTCTATGAGAAAAAACTTAGAAGGCTTTTCTCATTTCCTAATATCAGCCCAAATTCACATTATCAGTGAAAGTAATATTTTGTAACTATCAACGGTATCCTATATGTCTATATATCATCTGAATCAGCAAGAGCTAGTGAGTGCAACTTTGCATTTATAATTCAAGTATCTTTTTTCCATCAATACATTTAACTGCTTGAAAGTAGGGAGAACTTACGAAAAAGATGTTATTTGCAAATATATGATAAATAAGAGAAATAAAAAGACAGGTTATGGAAAACTGATACCAAAGTTGCACTTTCTGCCCATTAAGTATTAAAAAATTTAACCTTGGCTTAGTGTGCTTGTCTTAGTCCTAGATATATCCTTCACTAAAAAAGCCACAAAAAAGCAATTGTGTCCTTGTTACCATGGAAATGGCTATTTATAGAAAAAATTGACTTCATCATTGAAATCAGAAGGTTTGATTTGATTATAAGATACATGAGAAATTTCAGGTCGATCTGAGTTCAGACCGGCCTTCATTTCAGTCTGCGGTGAGGTGCTCACATCAGAAAGGGCGAAATGAAACTCAGGTCAACCTGAATTTGTTTCGGTTGTTCAGGTCTGTCTGAAATTTCAGGTTTACTTGAAATCCGCATGTGAGCAGAAACGTTTTTCAAGTCGGGGCGAAATTAAACTCGCGGAGAAAAATAAATTGCATTCTGGGATGCAAATTAGAGTTCTGGAATACATGTTTGATAAATTTGACGCCATTTCACCATTGAATAGTGCAAGATACAGCCTGTGCTTATTTTGCCAAGATCTATTTGGCTTCTGTTGGACGTCATGAAAACTCTCAGAATAGAGAAACGGTACATGTTGAAGAAGTTGAAACATAAGTTGAACAAGCAAAATAAAATGAAGTTGCAAAGCCGAGACCAGAACAAACAAAATAGATTTCAACAACTGATTTAAAATAAACCTTTTCATCAAATTATTGGGCGCCATTATTGTTTTGATCTAAATTTCGCCGTAAATGCGCATGTGCAAAACCCTGTGGCTTTTTCAAGCCGGTTTGAGAACATCCATGTGAGCGGGAGCAAAATTAGCACGCACCATCAAATTTCAAGACGACCTGAGTTTTAGACCGGCCTGAAATTGTTCATGTGAGGGGGGTCTAAGTCTGAAAATTATTCTCTTTGCATGCAAAACAGAATTTTTAGAATCTTGACCAGACCCTTGCCTTAAATACTTTGTCTTTTAGAATGGAAATATAATGTAGCAATTAGCATCTTCAATCTTTTGTTGACTTGCTTTTCTGTGTCTACGTTCCGGGCTCTCAGCCTGCAGCTATGCACGCACTTTGGCTCACAACAGGAATCTTTTGAATTTCACCTTTGATTTGCAGAGAATCTCGGTCAGCACAAAAAAGCTTTTTCATCAGAGACATTTTTTCGTCTTTCCAAGAACATTTACTTTCTTCACGAAAAGATGTAAGTTCTCATGTGGCAAATGTTTGACAATTTGTGCCACATTAAATATTTTTTCATACTGGCTATAGACATCTGCGCAACCAGCTGTACATTTAGCAATTTTCCTAAAAGTTGCTTTGCTTCATTTTCTTTCTCTCAATTCCCCATAAAATGGATTTTGATACAACAGAGCATCTTTGTTGTCTAGGCATGTTACAGGGGTTTGCAAGTCATGATGAACATTTATGTATCCTTGTCAGCAGCTGTTTGCGAATCTTGTTTCTGAAAATTTCACAAGGTCTTTCAGAAAAAGTTTCTAAAGCATGGATGCTTCAACCAACTTTTCATAATTCTGACACAAATAGAATAATCTAAAAAGCTGAGAACATACATAAGTATTATCCGCAAACCATTTGAACCTCTCTTCTCTACAAAGGTGTACAAGACCGCTTTCTGCAAGGCAACCCAAGCGCAGAGAATATTTTTTGGGCTGTATATCATAAAGAGCTGCTGATTCACGTTCTTCTTCGACATGAAGATGAAAATACTGACCATCAAATAATCCTCCCTCTACCTGACTTGATTGGAGATTAAATTTGTCAAATCCTTTTTTTATATTTTTGCTATTTCAATGCATTTGTGGTCTTTAGGGCTGGCCAGAACCTATCACTCGAAGCAGTCCGTCTGCACCAGGGACCACTGTAATGCAAGATAGGAACTGCCTAATAAGATGCTTGGAAGTTGCTTTGTCTGCAATGATGTTAAGAGCTGGGAGATATCCGGTCTGGACAAGGCTTGTGCCAATGAATGTGGTAACTCTCCAAGCCATGGCCTGCCAACAAAAGACCTAAATGCTGCTGGAAATTTTTGTGAATGATTCAGCTCCCTAGCAACTGACCCATTCCTCCTCTCCACCAGGATATCAGCTTCATAGTCAGTGTAAGGGCGTCTTTTCAAAAATAGTGGCAACCACAGTCCCCCAAATTCATATCAGCTCTCTCATTCTTCTTTTCAAGCAAGCTTCTTTCTGCTTTTCTTTGCTCTTCAGCTTACAGGTTTTTCTTGTGGGTAATAGAATCTGTTAGATGTGGCTTAATACTTTTCTTCAAATTTATGAAGGCAATTGCAACATAAACAAAAACCATTTCTTGGCTGATCTTCCGAAAAGAGCCCAAACTTGGCTGATCTTCCGATGTCCGAAAGAGATTAAGGATAGGGGCATGGATGGAGACCTGTTCTGATGCCTTGTTGCATTTTTATATGGTGAGTATATTATACATGTGGTGAATGTACTGGTATTGCTGAGAGTTCTGCCAATTCATGGTTGGTTGTAAATAATGATTCAATTGACAGTATTTCTTTTATGTGCTAGCTATCTGATATATGATGAAATGCCATTTTTATTTCAGAGACTGAGTAGATTATGTGATTTGCAATTGCAAACTAAGTCATTTAATAAATATAGCAAGAACTGTATTTGCTTTAAAATCATCATATGATTCAACATCATAGTAGGCTTTTGTATCTTTGTAGCCAAATATCTTTCTTGGAGTAAACCGATGCTTTATTTAGCTGAAGAAATTAAAGACATGTTTATATGAAACAAACTCTTAATTCCAGATTTCTTGCTTTGAAATAACTATTTGTTATCTTTATCTGAAAATAAAATCTGAATGATTAGTGAAGAACAATTGGACAATGAATGACTTTTGTTTGTCTCCTGATGATTTCGGGTATCTGTTTCCTGGAAGTCATGCAGAACTTCTAGGCTTTATCATTAAGGCTGATATTGAAGAAATATTGCAACAGAGTCTTGCAGGAATATTGCAACAGAGTCTTGCAGTATCAATGAGAACAATGGTGCTGTTGATTGTTTGCAAAAACACAATAACCACCTGGAAGCCAAAGTTCTGCACCAGGATGGCAGATATTCCTTTGGAGAAACAGAATAAATAGGAGCTGAGCTAAGGGGTATCTTGCAGCAATAATGGAAGCTTGCAGTCCACTCTTGCAAACTTGCAACCAACTTGTTTAGAAGGTTAGAGATTGTCTCCAAAGGAAATGAAACAAGAGGAATTTCACAGTCTTGTTTGTTTTTCACAAACCAATTATAGCATGTTGCTGCTCTTTTTAAAGATGTTGTCGAATTTGATTTTGTTCTTGTAATGTCTCTTTTTTCAAGGAAACTTGAACTACAATACTTAGCTAATTTTAGTCAAACGAAAGCAAAAGTTGCCATAGTTCCACTTCCATCAATGTTGTTGTCTTTCTGTTAAGTTGAAATTAACAATGTTTTTCGAATAAAGCTAACTAAGCTCAAGCATTAAATAAAAGCTTTAGCATGTTCTAAATATTATTGCCGTTAATAAACATTTCAATTTTCCCAACTAGCTTGATGAATTGATGCAAAAAACAGTACCCTAACAATCCCCTTATGGTTGACTACTGATTAGGATGATGCTGTCAATTTGAAATGGATAGATGAGGACTAAATATTCTAGCCATTTGAAATAAATCTGATCAGTAGAGAAGTTTTATAGAAGGAGAATGAATATCCTTCTTAAATATCTTTTTCCTGCATAAGATGCATAAGATTTTTCCATTATTTTTGGACTGGTCTCTGTGGTGCATAAAACAGGAATTTCAGTGAAACATGTGTGGTTCAGTGAAACTTCCTGGATTACTGAATGATATCTAAATGAGTCATGGCTGCTTTATGTTTACTTTAAAAATCAAGAAAGCTTTATATTGCTTTATATACCTTAATAAAATTATGGCTTTTGCTTCTCTTTTTATTCGTATATATTTGCCATTCGTATTTATTCGTATGTAAAAGAAATATTCAAAACTGTTTGGATTTTGCAGCGGGGCCATATATCCCTTTCAACCATTAGAGGAACTGAATGAGCCTAAGTTGGTGTAAACGAAACCAATGTTTAGTGTTTGATTCTAAGCAGTTCTCACAAATAATGCTCAGCATTTTACTAAGAAATTGTTTCTGTTTCTCGACAAGCATTTAAAATTTTTCCTTTTTAGTCCTTATGGCAGAAAGCTTTGAAAAAGGGGGAATTGTTATTGACCCCGAACAGGAAACTGACTCAAGTGATGACGGGTAGGAATAGAAGATTCAGATGATGATGTGCCACTTGCAGATTCGATTCCTTTGTCTGAAGTAGCAAAGAACGATGTTCCAGAGCATGTTTATTGCTGGAGAGCAGATAGACCACCACCTCCTCAGATGAGTGTGAATTCAAAGGAAATTTAGAGGCTGATGAACGGGTTTACACAATCCTATCGATTACTTCAAGTCCTTCATGGATGACGAAATGGCCCAGCTGATTGCAGATCAAACAAATATGTATTCAGTACAGTGTGATGTTGCCAAAGGGAGCATTGCAACTTCAAAAAACAGAGGTAGAACGGCTCATCTGTCTTTCTCGAGATGTGCATTGTCCAAATGCCTAGATATTCAATGTATTGGGAAGCTGAAACCAGGAACACCCCAATTGCTAGCTTAATGAGCAAGGACAGCTTTAAGAAATTGAAGGGCTTCCTGCACTTCAACGACAACTCAAAAGCAAAACTGACGATACTTATGATAAGCTGTACAAGAAAAGACCACGGCTGCAAATGATGAGAAAAAATTGCTTGGCTGTGTCACCTTAAGAGATCAATTCTATTGATAAGCAGATGATTCCTTTCAAAGGGAAAGGCAGCCCAAGAAGGTATCTCCCAAAGAAGCCAAAGAAATGGGGCTTCAAACTTTTTTCCAGAAATGGTCCAAGTGGGTTCTGCTATGATTTTGAGATGGAAGGTGCCCCAGACCCAAAAGAAAACAGAATAAAAAGCTGATTCAGCTAGCATCAAATTATGTTTACATCCAGCCAACTGTTGGGGTTCAGAGGTGTTCTAAGATAGATAACAAATATGTTGAGGTACCAAGACCTCAAATTGTCGTGGCATACAATGCAGCAATGAGAGATTTAGACCTGTTTGAAATGTTTCAATCTCGTTACCGTCTCCATCACAAATGTCAGAAAGGATACATGCGTTTCTTTTTTTGGATTCTGGGCAGCGCTGTCATAAATGCATGGTGTTGATACGGCAGAATGATGAAGCAACAAGGTGTGCCCATTGCCAAGCAGCTTGACCTTTTTCAATTCACATGCTCAGTGTCACACTCACTTGCAGAGGCTACAATTCAAAGAAATGGGAGAGAGAGGCCAAGCAGTGAGGCACCACCTGAAATGGCACCACAGACAGATGTTGGTACTGATTCTGTCAATCATTGTCCTGTTCATAGACCAGATCCTCCTCGCTGCTTTCACTGTGGGGAAAAAACCAGAATGGGATGTGAAAAGTGCAAAAAAGGCTTGTGTTTGACAGAGAAGAGAAACTGCTTCAAAGACTACCAAAAATAGATTAAGAATGAAATTTTTGGCATGATTTTGTACTCTGTTTATGCTAGTTATATGCAGTTTTACATGAGTTATTTCTTTCATTCGAAAAACTATCGTTCAAACTATTCAGCCTTGAAAGGGTTAAGATATAATTTTATTCTTGATCCTTGAATAGCTGGGAGGGCCAGTCCCAAGATTTGCCCCCAAATTAGTTTTTTCCAGAAAAATATTCTGAAATAAATAAAAATTATTTTTAAAGTTGTACAATTTGAGCACATTGTTTTTTATAACAAGAGTTTTCATATAACGATTCTATATAAGTAACCAAGGACAACTGAGATAACGGTGGGGGAGAATCAATGGTTCCTTATTTAGGGATATTCATTACTAGATAAAATATCCAATCAATATTTCTCTTTCCTAAAATTCATACGAAGGATTGTAATTTGATTTTGACGTCCCTACTGCAGGAATCACAAAACATTTTTCTGTGGAATAAAATGTAGCTTTTTGTCAAAATGAATGTAAAAGGATAAGCATCACCGTGTGATACATCAGGATATTTCCCACAAGATGTATCTATTATCCCTTTTATGTTGAAGTCACCAAGTGAAGAATCAGAAAAACTCACTTGTAATATTTTGAATAAGGTTTTTTCTTTAATAATCTCTCAATACACCATTGCTATACTTCTTTTTACAAATAATCATGTACGAGAAAAAGGTTCTACAGCATAAGGAAATTTTATGAGATAAAGTGTGGAAGGATCCAATTTAGACAGTTCAAATCAATTGTTTTAAGTTCAAACGGATCTTCTGGATTCATAGAAAAAAAAATCTCCCTGATAGTTTATACTTTCATGTTTTTGGTATACAAATATAAAAAAATTATGGCTGGGTACAAGAAACTGGCTCCAAGAGAAAAGGTCCTGTTATCAGATAAAGACAGGTGCATCCAGAAGAAATTTGCAAAAGAAGGTCTTAAGATGTATGACAATCAATTCTAGTTGGATGATGTGGCTTTTTATTTGGATGGGATCATATTTGTACACAAATTTGATCCCTTAACAGCAGCATCAAAGCTAAGAGGATGTGTGTGGCAAAAACTAAATGCAGGGCTTTGGTACACAGCGACTGGCTCTAAAGATCTTCTAGTAGAATGTTCAATGGTATTCCTTCTATGCCCATTTTTGATAAGGGTAGAATAAATAATCCAGGTAGGATTAGTCCTAATTATATTTCAGAAGCAACAACTAACCACTTTTAATGCATCTGCATTGCTTCTATAAAGGTTCTGCTGTAGAAAGGCATTCTTAATGGTCTGGAAATCAAGATGCTTTTAAAATCTACATTTGATGGAGTTTTGTTGAAAGCATTATAGAAGTAAGGAAAACTTTGAACACCCCTTTTCATTTCTTGAAAGCTCTTTTCTTGCAAGTAGTTTTACAAAAAGGCTTGCAAGTAGTTTTCCAATAAACCTGCTGGTAAGCCTAACACACACATTACCTGTTTTTATAGAACATTTATTCATAGCTCCTAGACTCATATCTCAAAAAATTCAAAAAACATTTCAGCTATACAGAACTTTTCAGGTAATTACCTTCTGATTGGGACATGGGACAAATGAATTACAAAAAATGGTTCCCTCTATCTGGATATCAAACATCTTGTATTGAGATACTACATATTAATAGCCTGTGACTGACAAATCTACAGTTGACAATGCCTGCTCTATAATTTGAGACTAGACATCTGACTGTGATACACAAGAGCTTTTGGAGGAAAAGGCAAGGTCAGTGTCTCAATTCATAACTCCCTAGAAAAGTTTAAGAACGCATCAAAAAAACAAATTTTAGAAAGAATTAGCTGAAAACACTTTAGGTGAAAGGCGGAAAAATAATCAGCAGTGTGTTCACCAGTGTAGCATCCAATACAGTAGGGGAAGTTAACAATGATTGTGTTCTGAGTGTAGTTAAAAGCACAAAAGATAATATTGAATAAACTAGAGTAAGGACATTTAATAATTTCTTTGCTTGATAATAATAATAATGCTTGTGACATTAGACCTGCCCTATCAGCTCTATTCAATTTTGTATCTTTAATTTTTGCGGGCTAATATTTAATATTTGATAGACTCCATTAGTCAAACGCAAATAGAAAGGAGAAGGCACTCAAGAGAATGTGTAAAGATTGAGAATTGGAAGAAAAATTCTTGCTGGTTTATATATGATACAACAGGGAAAAAAATTATATTCACAACAAACTTTGCAGGGAAAGAGCAGGAGAAAACTGCAAGGGAGTTGAAAGTGAACTTTGATGGCATAGAGAAATCGTAGGGGAAAATTTGTCCAAACAATGCCATTAGACATTAACTGATTAAAATTCTAGATAGAAAAAATAAGGCAACAGGTCCTGAGGAACATGGCAATGTTAATAAAACAAGGAATTGAATTTGGATTTGACTTTGGCAAAGAGATTGTAGCATGTTATGTCAGAGATCATATATACAGCCAAATTTAAACTTGCAAACTCTATCTCCAGATTTATGTGATAACTTGTAAAAAAGGAGAGCATAATTGCTGAAGGAAAGCAAAAACCAAGACAACCTTAGCTTTGCTTGAAAGAGGAGACCAGTGGTTTTGTTAGACGTTTCAGTGTTCCACCTTATGAAATTATTGAATGCTGACAGACTGTGTTAGTTCAAATAAATTTATTTGTTGGCTGTTAAATAAATTTTTGAGTACTTTAGAACTATTTAGCAAATATGACAAAAACTTCACACTAAAATAGCCATCTCGCAACAGCAGCTGTTCCCAAAGGTTCATGCGCTTATATTTAGAATGACCTAATAAAAGCTGTAGCTGATTAATAGAAACCTCAGATTGATACCGCTATGTTTGTTACGATAATGCTTGATTAGACATCTAATTAAATTCCCAACTAGCAGCTCTCTGCTTTTTTGAAGTCTTGAAACCTATTTTCAAACTCATCTTTCAACTATTTTCAAACTCAAGAAAACCACAGTATTTGGCATGATCAATACTTTCAGAAACTCTTTCAGTTAATATTGAGAGATGTGTGGTCTTCTTTGACAGCAGCTGGTTTTTAATCAGCATTAGTTTGGCCAAGAAGGACTCCACATGCTCAAACATTTTGTAGACAAGTTGGTCTTTACTTTGAAGCTTGATGTTAAGGTCAGAAAGCATCTGAGTTATATCAATCAAAAATGCCAGGTCATTGAGCCACTCACAATTTTCAAGCAATGTAATGTCCCTATGCTTCATGACCAAAAACTGCTATATTCCGGGTAGCAAATTCCTGAATCTCTTCAATGTGGCTGCTCTACTGAGCCACATAAAATGAGAGAAATATACAACATTCTCATAGTCAGCATCACATTCTTTCAGCAGGTTCTTGAACTGTCTGTGTTTAAGGCCTCGTGCACATATGAAATTGACAATTTCAACAACAAAAGTAAGTACTTCTTTCATGTCAAGCACTTTTGCACAGAGTTGTTGCTGGTGAACTATACAATGATATGAAATTATATCATGACCAATAGAGTTTTTGAGCAAAGACACAAACCCTTTATTTCTGCCAGTAAGAGCAGCAGCTCCATCAGTTGTGATGTCACAGATTTTGTCTTCTGAGAGATCAAATTTGATTTAAGTCTCTTTTACCTCCCTCAATATGTCCTCTACTTTCACAGTACCCTTCATGTGACGCAAATCCAAAAGTTCTTCAAACAATTCAAACTTCTTGTTTGTACCTTAAGAAAACAAGCAAAATTTTTAATAAATTGATCAAATCACTGATGAAATCTATGATAACAGATAGGGACTTGAAAAATTGCAAAAAATTTGTATCAGAAAAAGCCATATACTCATATTTCATAAAATCTTGTAGAAATAACTTCATTTACCTCTAACTAAAATCGCCAGCTGAGCATTGTCACTATTATCAGTGGATTCATCTAAGGCTAGGCCGTGTACGTGAATGCACATGCTTTTTTTGCTCCCATGAATAATGTAAACTTCTCCCCCTGCTTGCAGCAAAAATAACTACTATGTAACTTTTAACAACTTTGTGTTGGACAACCCTGCTCTATCCAAACTTATATTAGCGACTCATAGCTGAAGCTGACATCTTTTGCTATGACAGGTGCTGTTCTTGGATGAACCGTAAGACCCTCTTGCCATAAAGCTGTAAGCCCACTTTCACTCAGGCC